TTGGTTTCAACAACTATGGCGAAATAGTTGAAATGTGGGGGATAAGGGGGAAAGTAATGTGGAATGTCGCTTGGGTGTTTCTAAAGTGAAAGTGATACTTAGAAGATTTGCGTAAACCCTAAGCTAAGCCATAAATGTCACTACATTTAAAGAGATACTTGTGAAGCTCAAGTACTTTAAGGTTAATGAAGTGGAGAGACTTCAATACCGTTGGCATGTGTTATGATTATTGCAAGGCAATAAAATCAAGTCAAGCTCACAAGATGGGTAGTGAATTGAAAAAAGACGAGTCTTTGGTGTATTGTACCCAAAGGGAACTCACCGGATGAACCAAAAGCCATAGTCCATTAATGGATAGGCATTTATGGTTAACGAGGAGCAGTATCTTGGAAAACGTCCAAGTTAAACTCTAAGACCGGTGAAGTTGAGTAGTTTGGCCCGCAAAGACTGGCGTTAATAAAACGCACTTATACACAAAGGTGTTATTGCAAGGGCTAGGAGTGTTATGTGATAAATCTCGTCAAAGATAATGGAAACGTGACACTGTGTATTGATTAATTTCTAGCAAAGTTATTTGGATTGATCATCTTAGATCAAGTGATAACAAACGTTAGGCCTACCTAGAAATTAACGATAGCATCGAAGGGAATGGACTCGTGGCCTAGGACAAATCTTCATGGCGGTAACTCTACCTAAGCAGGATTGGCAGACCCAACCTCTAGGTTCAAGGAGAAACAAAGTTGTGATTGATGGTCCGACATTGTCAAATTATTCAAAGTCCATTCTCATGATGAGACAATGTCCAACTATAAGGGTAAACCTAAAGATGAAAGGTTTTTAATGGTTTCTAAGTTTGACACAGGATATGATCCAATAGTGTATTTTCAGAATGCATGTTTAGAAATCACCTATGTGAGTGTGAAGTGGAGCCGCTTCAAGGAGAATAAAAGAAGGCCAATTCTCTACACACTCATGAAACCAGGCGGTGTTCATGGCTGAAACGAACACAACAATGAGAACCAGTGAACGGATAAGAGTTAGGTGTGTGACATATGTTGTCTTAGTATACAAGCAAAACCGACGGTTCAAAGATATCACATCTACCGATTGGTGAGTATACTCGATATATGTTCACTAAGGAAGGTTCAAAGGGAAACCTACCTATTCCGATGCAACTAATTCTTAGTCGAGAATCACACGATTTTTTGCATAGTTTTTAAAGTACAACATTCTCCATTCATGTGGGGGATTGTTGGGATTTTTAGTGGTGTGAATGGAAATAAAAGGGGAAAGTTTCAAGAGAGTCTCTTGAAGTACCATGTTGGTAAGATGTGAGAAGGCATGGCCTCGAATTCGATCGATTTGATGTAATATGTGGTTAATTGGTTAAATTGGTTTGTGTAACCAAATGAACCAAACCGAGTTGAACCAAATCGAACCGAACCGATGTGGCGGTTGGAATAACCAAACCGGTCCAACTTCCATGAGGCCGAACCAATGCAATGGTTGAAATATTTTAAACGAACCAATGCAATGGTTGGGGTGTAACCACCCATATGAAGAGTTGCCTCCCTTCAATGCATCCCTTCATTCTCTATAAATAGCACCATACCCCCTCTTGTTTTAATAACGAGTTTTACATGGATTTTTCCCGGTACTGAAACTCTGCCAAAATCCAAAACTAGTTTTTCTGCATTCCTTTTCAAAGAGAAAATAGAGTCAAGTGTGGTTCTCGCCGTTTCGTTGCGTTCGATGGTTTCCGGGGTTTGAGGTACCGCTACGCCGGAAAAGGTACGTCCTTTCTATCTTGGGAGGAATCATTCCACAACCTTGGGTACTTGAGGGGAATAAGATTCTTTAAGGAGAGATAGTGAATTCTATCGGCTAGGACGCTTGCATGTGTCTTTGCATGTTTTTTCTTAATCTTATGTGTTTGCTTGTGTTGCAAGAAAATAGTATACGTGAACAATTTCCCCAACAAAACCACTTTATTATTAAAATATTTATATTCTCCGCAACAAACAGACACATAGCATAATATGATTTTGATAATACTCCAGTCTCTTATCTAGCCTTAGGAAGCCCTCAGACTTCAGTCTTTGCACAAAGGGGATATGAATTCCACTTCTGTAACTTGTCTTTTGATTTTCAAATCTATCACCTACCTTCTTATTTCACCCAACAATTCGATTATCCATAAATGCAATATCACTAATTTAGCTAATGTTTTAAAAATAAAAATCAACAACAACAAAACGATAATCTTAAAGTGATCTATACAAATCACACAGATTCCAAATCTCTTTAATATACATTCATTCCTTCTTTTCTCTCAAATGATTAAAAATTACTGCTTCTATGCTTTTCATGCACAATCAATAATCACATTTGCATGGCCAACAACAAGCATAATTTGTTTTTCTTGAGAAAAGGGAGAAGGGGAAAAAGGGAGATATTCTTGGTTTAGGTAGCTTTAAGTGTCCTATCCCAGGTCCAAAGTGGGACTAGTTGTAAAAGAGAAATGGTTTAGTCAAATTGTGAATTTTCCTATTGTTTCCACTTTCCTCCACGTCCAAACGAGGAACCAACAATTTTGTTTCAACGTAATCAATATTTACTATATCTTAACAAATAAACGTTTAACAATAGCGAATCAACATCTAAAGTTGTCATTTGCTCACGTGGATGAAGTTTGAAGCAAAGAAAGTGTACAACTGTACAAGACTTGAAATACTGACCAATTGGTTGGATGTAAAGACTAACAACCGTAATGGCCAATAACAGTTCGACATTTGCTTAATATATCGATCACAAAAGAGAATTGTGCTTTTTTGACGTCCTATCCATTTCGAAAGTGGGAACTAAAAACTGAATTTCGAATTCACCACGAGCAGAGATCAAACACCTAATTCTATATTGCAAAACGAGATAATCAACCGCCAAGTAATCTCTTTATAATATCTCGAAATGCTAGCAACCTTATGCATTGGATGGAATGGAAGGGGGGAAATCTGAAAGAAAAGGGGTCGAGTACGATAAAACTTTCAGTAATGTAGCCCTGGCCCACGTCGCTGAGCCGAATTTCAGCGTTCCTTAAAATGCAGGCCCAACTCGCTTTGGTAACCAATAAATCATAAATGGACCCTTGAACCCGTGCCCTCCGGCCCATTTTCAATTAGGCCATATAGACAGTCCAACAATGGATTTCTCCCCACTCCCACACACAAAGACAGAGTTCCTGCCAATGCCAGTAAGCTTACCTCCCGTCTACGTCAAGGCAGCCTATCGGGGTCTGATTAATGTTCAAACTTCAAAGTCAACAAAAAATAATGACACCAATTCACCAAATATCTCAACAGCCTTTGCGTAATTAATGTAATGATAATGACATTTTGTACACAAATTTCAACGTTTTAGGAGCTGATTAGCATCCTAATTAAGTGATTATCATCCCAATTCGGGTGAAGATGACACCTTTTTGTTCCATAGCTCATCTTTATGGAGTTTCTAAAGAACACACAGTATCCTTCCGTTCACACCACTTATCCAGGCTTATAGGATATTATATAATGTGTTAATTTAGGATTCAAATGAGAGCTTTCCCATTTCTTAATTTCATATATGAGAATAGAAGTAGTGTTTGTTTTTAATTTAAAATTGATATTATGTTCGATTTTATGAGTGGAATAAATTCAGTAAAATTATTTTCATTGTTTAGTTTATTTTGATACAAAAATATTCTAATACGAGAACCTTTTTTGAATTGGGTCCTTGGGGTCTTTTGGATGAGGTACTCTAACATATCAATTTGACCTAATTATTTCGTTTTGAGACAATTTGGCCAAATTGATCCATTTGACAACACATAATTTAGATGAAGCAATTTTGCATGGGGAATTTCAAATTGACTCATTCTGAGGCAATGACAATTGTCTGGGATGAGGGTAGACAATTCGGATTGATTCGTTTTAAATGACTCATTTTCTAAAACGAGACAATTGGCCAAATTGTCTCGTTTTCAATTCATCCGTCCAAACGATCCCTATATTAAAGGTGAGAATGAAAATTTGTAATTAATATTTAGGATTTTACATATTACTAATATGTTGCATTCCATCTTGATTCTAAAACCCTCGTGACAATTTAACTTTATTCTATACAAAGTTCTATCATCTATGTATATAAAATTAGCCTCTCTCCTGTTGTTTTCTCATAAATCATAACGATCACTTCGTACCCCAATTGGAATTCCTACTTAAGAGCTAGTGACAGTAAAAAAGATATGATAGACCAGAAAATAAAGCAACAACAACCATAGAAAAAAGCGAAAAAGGGAAAAATAAAGACAATCAACATGTTAGGATAGAAAGGAAATGCTAAGGTTGTGATTGATAAAGTCAATTGAGGGAGTACAAGGGATGCGATTTGCAAAGGGAGGAGTTATCTTTGATGAGTTTCGATATTTGTTTGCTTTGGCACTAGGATACCAAAAGTGACTTATGGGTAGACAGAATAATAGAGTGGTTCATGGCTAAAAAATCTCTTACTTGGCTTCTGATTGGATGTAATGGGTTTGATTTTTGGTAGGGCTGGACAATCGGTTATTGGTTAGTGGTTAACCGATCGGTTACAATCAAAATTGATCGGTTATCCACTAACCGAAAACCGAAATGACCGAAAGTCGGTAGGTATTCGGAGGCTCGACTAGATGGTTTTGGTATTGAGAGACGGTTTGGTTAATCGAAAATCGGGATAATCGAAGCCTTGAACCCTCTTTCAATCGATGGTCGGTAGATTTTGGAAGGTGGTTCGGTTAACCGTTAACCGAACTGACCTCCAACCCTAATATCTGGTGATGGCTTCGTTAAGAAGCTATGTCTTGACAAGCGATCCTAATTTTCCTCCGGCGAGACCACTGAGCGACTGTTTGGACCCCACAGTATCCCCACCTTAAAAACCCCGCCATTTTGCCACACTTTCAATTTCGAACACGCAATAATCCCCATTCTCTTCTCCTCTTTGCTCTTCCAAATCCGATTACAATCCTCTCCACCATTACCCCACTCTCTGAACTGATACACAAACCCTAGAAAGCAATCTTAAAAGCATTCAATCCTCCCTCCATTTCTGCTCCCTTTTCCCTTCCATCACTTTACCATGAACCCTTACTCCTTCACCGTCGATTCCCTCTCCAAATCCCAGGACCTCGCCGCCGCCATCCTCGCCTCCTCCACTCCCTCCCAGATTTCCGCCGCCTGCTCCTCCCTCGACGCCTTCCTCCGCTCCCACTCCCCCGACCAGTCCCGCCACTTCTTCTCCCTCGCCTTCCCCGCCCTCATCTGCAAGCTCTACGGCTTCGACGACGCCTCCCCCTCTCCTCCTCCTCCTCCGCCTTCTTCCTCCTCCGGCGGTGGCGGCTGGATCGACGTCGTCTTCCACTCCAACGACGCCGATCTCGCCGCTAGGGTCTTCGACCTCCTCTCCCCCGATGGAGTGCTGTTCCATTTGATCTCCGCCGTCGATCGTCAGTCCCTCGTCAAGTACGTTTTCCCTACCGAGCGGCTGCCGGAGTGGGCCCGGCTGGTTCTCTCAGCGGACAAGGATTGTCAGGGGTTGAACGCGTTGTGTCCTGTTTTCCAAGGTAAAGTGAGGGAAGGAGGATCGAGTAAGGGCTCTTCTTCTTCTTCGTCGTCGTATCAAATTCAGCTCAATGTTTTCGAGTATTTCGTGTATTGGTTCGCTTACTACCCGATTTGCAAAGCCAATAGCGAGAATTCGAGTGGTGCGATGATGTCGGCGACGAAGAGTAAGACGGTGTCGAAATTGGAGAATTGGGCTTCTTCGATCCCCAGGCTGTCGCATGCTAAGCGTGGGAATGAGCAGAAATTGGAGTGTAATCTTTATGTCAGGCTTTTGTATGCTTATTTGCGTGCCTTTGTGCCTGTTCAGGGTATGGATACTCACCAGCCTTATCGTAGCTCGCTTTTGCATTATGGTTATGGAGGAGATGGTGGCTCTTCCATGATGAGAGCAGAGTTTTTTGTTGATACTTTGGTGCACTATTGGCTCGTTGATAATGATTTCTCACCACTACCTGTTAATCTTTGTAAGTCTGTGGGATTATCATTTTCACTGAGGTCAGTACTGGGTGAGACTCCACCATCGTCTAGTTTGGGTGAGGTAGTCAAGTTGTTGGTTAAGTACTTGAATTGTAGTGCCCGTGTGGCCCAAGAAGTTGTTGGACGAGTTGAAAATGCAAATGGAGGAAGGTTTTCCCCAAGCTCCTTTGATATGAAATCAGGAGAATTGGTTGCTTCTGTATATAAGTCTTCAGAGTTGGTTGGGTCCTGGAACTTGTGCATTCAAAGACCGCTATATCGATTCATTCTCAGAACTTTTCTTTTCTGTCCCATGGGCACTTCGTTAAAGAATGCATCTCAGGTGTTCTCTGTTTGGGTTATGTACATGGAACCATGGAAGATTGCAATGGATGATTTTCTGGAGCTCGATACGAATGTTGGTTCTTCTGGGATAGATATGAATAAGAAAGTTGGACAAAGCAGACAATGTGGGTATCAATCTTCGTGGGAAGGCTATGTCTTGTCCAATTACTTGTACTACAGCTCATTGATTATGCATTTTATTGGATTCGCACATAAGTTTCTTCACACTGATCCTGTAGTGATTGCGGAGATGGTGTTAAAGGTTCGTAATTGTGTCTTGATTTTTTCTATGTGCGTTTTAGTTACTTTCTTCCTCCAGCATTTTAGTTGTTCTGTTTCTGGGTACCATTTTTTGTGGGAGCTATAATCTGTTTGTTCTTGAATTCTATAGTTTAATTGGTTTATTATTTACAGGTTATAACAGTATTGACATCAAACAAAGAGCTGATAAATCTGATAAAGAATGTGGATAAAGTCTTTCATACCAAACAAGCTGGATCTGGGAAAGCCATGCTCAGTAGTTTATACAAATATGTACCCTTAATCAGAGATCAGTTGCAGGTATGACCACTTGGATTTTTTCTCACCATGGTTCATGCCACTGTAGTGTGGCTACTGATCTCTACTTTGCTGCAAATTCTTAAAGTAATTGTAATTGTGGATCAAAACCATTGGTTCCTTTACTTTTGGCTTCTGGTAAATAATGCTAGTTGAAGTAGTTTGTCTCAATTGTTTGCACATCGTGCAATTATCCTAGGACTGCGTTCACCCTTCACTCTCTGATGCTTGCATCTGGCCTTCCATCTCCTTGTGGTGCTAGGATTGGGAGGATGGTCTGTGTGAGAGTGATGCTGATGGATCTTACTTGCATGAGAACTGGAACAGAGATCTGAGGCTCTTTAGTGATGCAGAAGATGGAGGACAACAATTGTTACAGGTTTTTATGCATTCTTCTTTTATTTTGCAGTCTTTTGTTTGCAATTGCTGATTGGTTTTGGAATAGACTTCATCAGTTATCATGGTTTGTTACTGCAGTTGTTTCTATTACGCGCAGAGTCCGAATTGCAAGCCAACTCTGGCGTTAATTTTTCACAAAACCTGGAGCTTATAGAGTCACTGAAGGAGCAAGTGAGCTGTTTATTTGGTTGCTATGCCATGAGATCAATTTCTTTCACACCGGAGAAGAAACAACTGGCAGAGCATACTCGAGATGATATATTCACCCCCAGAAAACTTGGAAATCACACCTTTGCTGATGTCAAGTACAAGGGTGACTGGATGAAGCGTCCAGTATCTGCAGATGAGGTTGCATGGCTTGCAAATTGGTTTGTCTGCTTGTCGTGTTGGCTAAATGAGACCCTTGGGTTGGATCGAGCTGAAAATGGCGATGTGAGCTCGAAGTGGTCTTATGTCGAGGTTTCTAGCTACTCAGCAAATATTGATGGACCTACAGAAACCATGAAGACTATGTTGCATGCTATCTGCTCATGGCTCTTAATACTGGGTGCTACGGTTATTGGGTTGATGAGGAAGCATGGTATTCGGGTGAATCTTAGGCCATTAGCATTGAAGAAAGTTATTACAGTTCTGCTCCTGTCCGCTCTTTTTAGTGTTGTGAAGAAGGGTGTTAGAATGTTTCTGCGAGCATAGCCTTTATCGAAGAAACAAGATAGGGAGAAATCAGGGGAGAAAGGAGAGTACAGAAGTAATTAAAAAGTAAAAACTACCGATGTAGGAATAGATGAATGTTTGCTTAGTTTGTTCAAAGAGGGGGAAACAAAAGGGGAATGTTTACACAGGATCAGGAAATAGTTTTAAAGAAAAGAAGTCAATTTTTCTTCTATGTTTTGAGGTATGCTGCTTTAAGGGTTTGTTCGCCTTGCTTTGTAACTAAGGTCTAATAGTATGATATTGTGCAGCTCTTGAGGGTTTCTCCTTTCTTTTGTTTGCTTACTCTTTTCAGTAAGCTTCTTACCTGAGTCATGTACAACACCTTTTGTAATTTTGTTCTGAATGTGAATGTATGTTTCTCACATGAGTTTTACATTATCCAGTATTATAGAATGGATGCACTGAAATACGCTTCTGGATACAATTTGCTTTATTTTGAAGGATAGTTTTTAATTGATTGTTGTCGATAACATTATTTCATCGCAAAATTTGCTTTGAAGTACTTTACTTCCCATCCAGGCATGGCTGGCTTTCTGGGAGCTTTGCTGATTCTCATCCTGGAAGGGGACCATGCTTAAGCAATCTTACAGGTAAGTGATCTAATCACTAAAGAATATTCTAGTGACTGCATTTTAATGCTGTATGAAGATTCTAAGAGAAAAAGTGAGCCTCGTAGAAGAGATGCTTCTTTGGTTCACCTTCCTCTTCTATGTAAAACATACTGCACCCACTATACACATAGTTGTTCAGAAGATTGCAACCTGGTTTGATCTTCCCTGTTGCCTTTGCGTAATCACTGATAGTCATTTCCTCTAGAGATGCCCCTTTTTCGCTTCCGAGCTTTACGTGGGTCATGGATACCTTTCTGTACACTAGATGTACCCCACATCTCCTTACTACTAAAGGTCTTGCTTGAACTGAAACATCAACTTTATCCCCACTTCCTATCAGACCTTTGTCGAATTTCCAGTGACTCAGCCATAACATTTCATTATTGCCTTCTGGGATCCCTAGAATGATTGGATAGTAAACCCACTTCTCGCCTTTGGTTTGGTTTGTGATTCTGGCCACAAATTCGATCCAATCTCTGTCCACAGATATCTCTCTGGAAGGTTTTGAGTCATCATAGCCATATATGACACAGAGGTTCAGTCCACAGAGCTCGTGGCCTGGAACCACATGCACTTGAAATTGTAGAAATGACCCTTCCTTTTGGTGATGGAACCAGCTTGGTAGCTCTATTCCTGGAAGGTAAAGATTGGATATCCCGCATTCATGCAGTATCTGTCCATATGTGCTTGTCGTTAGAACATGACTAACAGGAAACTAAAGGAGTCGAATGAATTTAGCTCGGACACAAATGATAATCTTGATGCAATGTTTTTGACATATCTGAAAGTTAGTTACTAAAGTTTTAGATGTGAAATGTTTAGGTGCTAACAATAGTTACTCAGACATCTATCCAGCCAACCCAATGAGTTTGGGTGAAATGGGGTTTTGGATTAGATAGATACTGAATGGGTAGTATTTTCCTCCTGTACAGGAAACAGAAACAAGAAAAGCAGAAAAGCATGAAATGGTTGACATCGATGGATCACCTGGAGACTAGATGCCTTCATTGTTGTTGACGTGAGCATATTAATCAGTGTCACTTCAATTTTGTCTGCAGATTCCAAATGGTATAGCTGAGATTGGTTGATCAGCTCAATAGCATCTTCTCCAGCAGGCTCCAGCTTGAATATTCCCTGGATTTCGACGAGCTCGTTGCAATAGATGATGCTCAAAAGCAACAAGTTATAGAAATTTGGAAGATTTGTGATCCTCCGTAACAAGTTGCAGTGGAACACATTTAGCTTCTCCAAACTCCTTGGGAGCTCCGGAAGCCATATCAGGCTGTTACATCCAGATAAGTCCAGGCTCTCGAGAACCGAGAGATCTGTGAAGGTCTCGGGAAGCTGACTAATAGGGTTTTTTGCTGAGGTTCAGTGTTTTCAAACAGGGCAGGCATTTGAGATCTTTAGGAATTGTATTGTCAGAAATGTTGCAGTTGCTGAGGCTTAAGCTCACCAATGAATATGGCAAAACAGAAACTGAAAGAGATGTTAGTTTCTTCTTATGTGATTGATTCACTGCAACTCCATCCATGTGAAGTGACTTGAGGGATTCCATCTTCCATGGCTTTATTGGGAGATCAAGATTTGTGCAACCAGATAAGACGAGTTCTTCGAGGGATAGTAGTTCAAAGTTGTTTGGAAGTCTTCTAAGGCTCATGCAATTTTTCAGATTTAGAACTGCAAGCTTTTTGAGATGGACTATGGATTTGTTGATCTCTAGCAGACGGATGCAACCCTTGAGTACTACTTTTTCCAGGCTAGGTAGGCTGAGAAAGTCTGGAGTCCTTACGAGATCATGAGAGTGACTCAGGTTCAGGATCTTCAATTCTCGGAGAAACTGGTAAGACAAAAAGCAATAAGCTTAGCTTTCAACGGAGAATATATATCCTTGATTTAATTCATTTATTTTCTTACCTTTAGTCCTTTCCAGGCAAACTTGAGGCAGCTGTGACGCATATCGAGCACAACGAGCTTCTCCAAATGCCAAGCTTGAGGTATGGATTTCAAGGGGAATCCTCTCCACAACAACCAGATCAAGCTTCTGGGGAGATCCTTGTATTCTTCTCCGTTGAGCTTAACATGACCGAGCTTCAGCAATCTCAGCCTGCTCATCTTTGCAAGCGCTTTCGTCTGAAACTTCATCATCCCATCTGGCAACTTTCTGGATCCATCAGCCTTTCTGCACCACCTGAATAACCGGAGAAGGCATTTCCTGGAAGAATCTTCATCAGGACTTCCATGGCCGTGTTCTTCCAAGTTCAGGGATAGTCCCCTGACTCTTTCAGTCCCCTGTTTTTTTCCCAGCCAGAGTTAGAAAAACCGCAGAGAGAGAATGGAAGAACAACAGACTTCCCAAACTTACAGTGCTCTCTCTCAAAGCTTCAATGGCATCCTTCTGCCGCCACAACCTGCTGCGCTCTCCTGGATTCTCGGATTCGTCGAAAACAATTGCTCTCCCCATGTCCCGAACCAACTGATGCATCCTCACCCTACGATCTTCATCGACCGTCACAAGGTAACGATCCATCAAGCTCTGAATCGTGTATGCTGCGCTGATTTCGAACCCATTCAGTATGTTCACTACGTAATCTTTCTTCATCCCAACAAAGAAGCAGGCCACATCGAGGAACACTCTCCTATGGTGATCATTCTCCAGCGAATCGTAGCTGATCTTCAGAATCTTCAGAACTTTCCTAGGTGGAATCGTCTCCATTTCTTCCAGCGCACTCTCCCACAGCTCTATGCTCTTGTTGGCGAGTGAAGAGCCCAGAACTTCCAAAGCTAAAGGCAGACCCTGACAGTAGTTTGCGACCGATTTTGAGTGCTTCACGTGGCTCCTCAATGGGTGATGCTGTTCGAACGCATGCCAGCTGAATAGTTCCAGCGAATTGGTTTCGTCCAGCGGCTCAACTCGGAACTTGGTGGTCATGTCACTTCGCCTGAAGTTATACGATTATCATAATCGATAAGTTACATAAATTGTAAAGTAGTAACATTGGGAAATCATAAAATGGAATCGCTAAACCTGAACAGCGATTCGTGTCTAGTCGTCACGATGATTTTGCTTCCTCTGCAGCAGCAGTCTCTAGCTCCAAGTATGGCGTCCAATTGGTCGACTTCATCAACGTCGTCGAGAACTAGGAGAACCCTTTTGAAGCAGATGGCATCCCGGACATGTAGAACTCCTTCATGTAAGTTGTTGAGTCTATTTATTTTCACATCACCACCTTCATTTCCTGAAACATCCATAACCAGCTGCCTTTGCAGGTTGACTAACCCGTTGTGTTGCTCTGAAGCTTCCTTAACATTCGCTAAGAAGCTTGACCCATCAAACTTGTCGAAGCTCAGGTTATAACCTGCCTTTGCAATGGTCGTTTTCCCGACCCCACCGATCCCGTAGATTACAGCCAGGACGCCATTACTGGCGGAGCTGCACTCGTCACTCTGCAGCACCCATGAGCTGATGCGGTTTATGTGATGATCGACGCCAACAAGATTGGAAGGCACATGAAGCGGCACCCGGGTAACTCTGCTTCTCACTTTCTCAACTATATCTTGGATGAACCGTGCCTCGTACCTGCCATGCATTCTACTGAGTTAACGAAATATCGTGTTCAAAAAAAAAAAAAAAAAAAAATTAGAACATGGTAACTTGTTCACGCCAAGCTACCAACATGCATCATGTATGTATCTTCTCACGCAACTCTCCATTTTCTCATTCATTTCTCATCGAATAAGAGAAAAGTTTTCGAAAAGTGACTGCGTACCCATTTTGCAAGACTAGTCCTGCAATTTCTGAAACCTGAAGAAGTGCTTCCTTCCACACACCAACTATCTCCATTTCTGCAGAACCTTTGGCAAAGCAGCTTCCCATTTGCTTGGCCAAATCAGCAGGATTGACGTCGTAGTAGACGGGAAGAACGACATGGTGTGGAGCTGATCGACGATGCTCTTCCATGATCATGGCCAGCTCGTCGAGGCACCAAAACGAGGAAGTGTAGTCCTTGGAGAAGACGATGATGGAGACTCTCGACTGTCGGATGGCTTGTTTGGTTTCTTCGCCTATGTTTTTGCCACGGTTGATGTCGTTGTCGTCTTTGAAGGTGTGGAAGCCTTCCTGCTTCAGGGCTCTGTGGAGGTGGTCGGTGAAGTTCTTGCGGGTGTCTTTGCCTCTGAAGCTGAGGAAGACGTGGTAAGTGAAAGGTGGCATGATATTGAGAGAGGTTTGATGGGATCGTTTTGGTTACAGTGGGGAGTGATTGCAGAAGGAATATGAAAGTTGGGAAGAGGGCTGAAGTATATTTATAGTAAAATTATGCGTTCAAATCACTCTCGTCAGAAGGTTACAGAATGTTGTCTTTGGATCTCGCTAAGGTTAGGATGATAATTCTGTTATAGGCATTTCTTTCACATTGAGTATGAGTTGAGTAGAGATAGTAAGATATCTATTACACCATCAACAACTATGAAATAGCATATTTATTTTATATGTGGTTCTTACCGTTATCGTTACAATTTTTACAATTTTATTTTTTAACTTTTACTTCATCTATATTCATGAAATTTATTCGCAATTTCCTATGGTGAATCTCATTCACATTTATAATATAACTAAATGATTTATATACTCTAACCAATTGAAGTTGATCCACTTTGCCTCTTCCAAGTTCCATGTTGCATTTCATTTAATGAAATCTTCTAAAAATGAAATAACATGCTACACCAATGAAATGGTAATGGAATTGTCATGCCACAATAAAATGGGTAATAAGATGCTCATTGTGGATGTTCTTATCGTGGATATACATTGAATGATTTTTCTCCAAACCGATATAGAAAGTAATGAGTTGCTCTTTCGTATTTTGAGTATACGAGAGAATTCATCTGAACGAGTTGTGTTAACTTAACACTTTAGTCATTCATATTTCTTAAATATTATAATTATCGTGTTGACCAAAATCTTGCTCAATGCCCTTCGGTTTTATAAATAATGTCTTAACAAAATTTAAAAGTAGTTTTTTTATCTTAGTAAAATTACAACTTGGTACATTAGCACAATTTTATAAATAATATCTCGCTACTATCTTTTACACCAAACATAACCTTTTACTTTAGAAAATTATCAAACATACTCTTTTATTCACATTTCCTTCTAAAACCGTCAATTATGGTTGAACCGTGGTTCATACGACCTATTCTTGGTAAAATGAGCGGAAAAAATTCCAGTTTGCCCCTCCATTTAGTTCTCAACGTCCGACTAAAGTGATACTGTTAGGAGTATTAAACTATACAAAAAGAAACCAAAAACGGTTAATGAAATTATTAGGGGTGTTTTAGATATTTGTGTCCCCAAATCACGGTTTGACCATGGTTGGCAACTTTTTGATGGAAATTATAACAGAAGGACATATTTGATAATTTTTCTAAAGTATAGGAGTAAGTTTGATCTAAAAAATATTAGAGAGCTATGCTTTTAAAAAATGCAGAATAGAGAGACATATTATACTCATCAACCATAGTTAGCCATAGGGCATTTTTTATAATCTACAATAATCGAACCCACCAATTAGCCATGGACGATGACTCGACAACCTACAAACATAACCCGTTAGGCATAGTTAGGGGTGAGCAACAATTTGATCCCTATCGGATCGCGACAGACCAAACTAATGGTTGAATCGGATCATACTGAACCGAATATAGTGTGTGGGTTCCCTTTTGGTCTCATGAATTTTATGATTATTGGAGAAAATTGAAACAAATTAACATTTAAACCAAACTAAATTGGACCGAATACACTATTAACTCGATCCTTGATGATAATATGTTTTTCACTATTCAACTGTGATTCTTGTTCTGTATTAACCGTTGTACATGCGTAGCCACAGCCAAGACTGACATGATCTGCCCTAAAATAAATATAACTATGCTGTGGCGTGTGAAACACTTCACCTAAACCCCCACTCCATTTCCACCGTTGCAACAAACAAGCTGCCACCTGGCATCCAGCTCACGCTTTCAGCCGTACACTGGAGGGAACATCCTCGTGAATTTGCGAGTCTAACTTGGATTGCTCACGAAATCCTTGACGTCGCAGTTCTTACCCACTATTACCGGCTAATATTTACACACTTTTCCCCGGTTCCGGTCGTCTTCTTCCGTTTGTCTCCGGCGGACACGTACGATGATTCGTGATAGAGGTGCCAATTGGTGCACGATTTCTTGTTTCAAGTTTCAAGGTCAATGAAAGACTTGACGGATAGGTTGAAATTTGAAAGAGAACAAGACCCGGAGAGCTGTCAAAGAAAAAGGGAAAGGGATTCGATGGCATTAACTAAAGCATCCCTCTAATATTTTTCTGAAAAACGAAAATATACTGAGGGGGTGTTTAAGCCCAATCCTAGTAGTCATTAGATCAATGATTATAACAGGTTTTGGGCGGCCCGTCTGGTGAGTCTGGTTCCAAGAGTCTCTTTGAGTGCTTTCAGACTTAGTCCTTCAATCACCCTTGAACGCTCACACTGTGTCGTTGACAACAAGACTTCTCTCTCTAACTCGAAATTTCATAAGAGAAGAAAAAATAAGGGGAAAATGCAAAAAGGCAGATTGGAGGAACGAAGTAGCTCGACCAATAGGGAGAGGAACGAAGGAACGAGCGGAATTATATGAGTGAGTCCTTCACCAGGTTTTAGAGCTCAGGGGTAGGAAGGGAAAGTTTTTTTCAGGTGAAAAAAGGCGATATATGGGCACCCTACAGCATAGTTAGTAAATACTCCGTTTAATACACGTATATGTACCCGTACGTACTTTATCCGTTTAAAACTTCCGTATCCGTATTATTGTCAAGCCGTTTCATTTTCCCCCGTTCATTTCATGGTTCCCGTACTAAACACGTATAAAACCCGTATAACACGTTTATTATCCGTATTTTACGAATTAAATTGTTAACTTTACTATTATTTATATATTTATTTATTTTTAAAATGATTAATTTTATATATTTATGACTATTAACGTACTATTAAACGTAATTTTAGCTTAAAGATGAAGTATAATGCCCGTACGTATCTTTTACGTAACTTTCCCGTACCGTATTTTACTAACTATGCCCTACAGTTAACAACAAGGAGAAAGGCAAAGGCTTTGATTCCTGAACCTTCCAATGGTAAAATTAAGGGAAAAGAATATATTTAATTAATGATTGAACAATGCCTCGGACTAATGGTACTACTACCACGGATTTTGAATCTGGAGGTCTTTGATTCGAATATTTTCAGTAGTACCTTATAAAAGTGTATAAATCATGTCATGAATAATAAAAAAAAAGCTAATATTAACAAGGTATACAAACCAGATCATCAAAATATACAAATTGATGATACAAACTATACAAATTAGATGGTAAAAGTGTAAAAAATCAAGAATTGATGATATATAATATAAAGCAATGATAAAAGACATACAAACTGACAAACCAATGACACAAACTATACATATTTGATTATAAAAGTATACGAACTAAAAAAAACCAATAGAACAAAAAATATATAAATCTTAGGCAAAATACAGTTCCATAGCCAAAACTTTCACGTTTGTGCCAATAATAGCCACATTTGGCGAAATACCACTTATAGCCACCTCCGTCCAATTCTTTAACGCTGTTAACGTTAAGTGTGACTGGGCAAACGGAGCAGCTTACGTGGACCGCCAGTGATTTCCACGTGGCGAATAATTAAAAAAAAAAAAATACAAAACACGAAATAGCCTACCCACCGACCATTTGGTCGACTTTTCCATCTTACCTTATCTTCTTTCTCTGAAACCACCCACCCATCTTCCTTCGAAAGGCGACGAGCACGAAGCACCACGAAGACCATCTTCCTCCGACGCCCCCCCTCCGACGAACCCCCTCCGACGAACCCCTTATTCCTTCCGCCACCATCAATCTAGACCCTTCTCATCTCCAATCTCGATTTTCCTCGATAATCCGAAAGTGAACCTACCGCCTCCTTCCTCGAGAAACATAACAGAGAATGGGTTGACTAATCGACGCCGAGCTTTGGCCGAATCTTTCTAAGCTTCTTCTCTTCTGCATGCTTAGGAGGAAAGTGGGAATCGACCGATTGTACTCTGAAACCCTAATCTTCCCTCGAAGCCGATTTGTCCTCTCCCTCGTCAGTCGCGACTGGTAAGGAAACTTTCTTGGTTCTTTATTGTGGGTTTGATAGCTGCAATTGAATTCTGAAAGCTTGTCGAAAGGTTCTTATAGTTTCATCTTTTTTGGTTGGTAGCGAGCTGTAAAGGCGAGATGTCTTGACCACACAAGGCTTATTGCACCAACAGAGTACCACGCCTAGTCTCTGAGTGCTAGTCGAACTTGAGGAAGCTATTCGCCTGGACATGCCTGCAGCTCGCTTGAAGTGCTGGGCAGGAGAAATCGCGAAAGGAGAAGGAGAGGGTTGCGTCGCAATCGTCGTCGTTGCGAGTCGGAACAGAATCGATCGGAATCGGAATCGCGGAGGGGAGTGAGGATTCGATCAGAAGGGAGTAGAGGATTCGTGGAGAGTGGAATTTGGGGGAAGAACCCTAATTCCGAAATAGGAATCGATTAGTATAGGAATCGGGGAGAGTGGAAAGTTGAGGATTCGGGGAGAAGAGTCGAAATTTGAAGTTTGGGAGAGGAACCCTAATTTTTGTATCGGGCAAAAATAGGGGCTGGAGGATTGGTTTCGATGGAAATGGAATATATAGTCTGATTTTTTTTTTTAATAATGTAATATATAAGTTTTTATTTTTAATAAATGAATATATGACGTGTCAAGATGACGTGTCAAGACTTGCTTAGTTGGCGCTGACGTGGAAGTGTTCTTCTCGCCTAATCAGCAAACCGTCTGCTTATTTGACGGTGTTAGTAACGCCGTCAATGTTTCTAACGGAAAAGGCTATATTTGTCCAACAACATTTTCAAAAGGTGGCTATAAGTGGTATTTTGCCAAATGTGGCTATTATTGGCACAAACGTGAAAGTTTTGGCTATGGAACTGTATTTTGCCTAAATCTTATCATAAAAGTATACAAATTATTGATCTTTTACACTAATAATACAAACTAATAATACAAAGTATACAAATTACATAAAAAGGTATACAAAAATCTTTTTGAGCTATGATTAGGTGGGTGTAAGTTCAAGAATTGGAAATTGAAGATATGATTACCAGTATGTACTCCAAAAATTGAAGTTCAGCCAGTTCAAATCACTTATTGTCAAAAAAAACTATCAGGCTATTACTTCCTTAGTGAGGCAAGGATATGAAGAATATGGGAGAAACACATTCACTTCATGAGCACATTTCACTTTGAAATATGCTTGAATATCATATTGGTTTGAATGGTTCAATTCAACAAGCAGTCATTTTCCAAGTATCCGAGAAATAGTTTGCATCGTTGACAAATTAATTTATCACACGGAAAAAGGAATAGATCGCATAACATTTACATTATAAAATAAAATTACTTACAAAACCATGACACCATCTCAAATGTTTTTTTTTTTTGGAAAAAAGATAACATAATTATTGTTAACAACAACGTAACTTCTGTGACGAATAATTACGCCTAAAATCTTAAATACAATTCTATGTCACTTTTTCAGATACTTTACAATTATATTCATTCTAACTTATTTGAATTACTGGCAATACATCAAATAATATAAATCCTTCACAGAGGTCTCAAATTCCTCCACTAAGATAGAATGGTATTTGTTTCTTTAATAATTTTATACAATCAAAATAAAAAGGCACTGATTTTGTAAATTGAAATCAAACTACAATAAAAACTTCTTTAATCTAATTCAGTTCATTGTAGCTCAATTAAACATTCATCATTAACCGCCGCAAAACGCGTGCCAATTATCTTGTGTACAAACCAGCCATAGCTCAGCTCCAGCTTATCTGATCATCGACTGTCACATTGTTTCAAGTTTCAACACTAACAACAGGCAGGGCTGACTCGAACAAAGTCCAGTAGCCTCTGGTCGTGCTGAAACACAGCCATTTCTCCTTCTTCCAAACACACCAAAGCTTCGATCCCGCCTCCCTCTTTCGTATCCAGCAGCACGATCTTCGGCTCCCGAATGCCACATGTCACCCACACGGGCTTCCCCCATCCGAAATCCGCTTCGTACAGCCGGAACCTGCACCAGCTCGAGCTAACGTACACCTTCTCCGCCTCCTCGGCCTTCAACCCTTTCCTCGTCTCTTCAATAAAACACCGAAACTGGTCGCAGCCACCACCTGTTCCCGCAGTGCAGGCGCTGAAATACTCGGTTTTCGCCCTCCTGATCATGTCGACGAACAAATGCAGGTCCGTCTCATCAGTTTCTCCTGCAACCTTCATTGCAAAAGCAGAAGACAGATTCCCCAGTAACAGATCACTTCCCGACACTGGCAAGGTTGACAATCTAGGGCGCAAGTTCACAGCTTGAGTCAACTTATAGGTCGACTTCCCAGAGCGACAGGCCTTGGATGCTGAGATGGCACAGGAACATATTAATGCTAGAACTAGTTCGACCCTGGTGGGATTCTTGACGTTGTTCTTCTCCGCAAGAGCCTTGAGCTTGGCTATGTCGGACGGTCCAAAGACGAACCGCTTGCAGATGCTTTTGACCTTTGGGAGAGGCTCAATTATGGTGGTTGTTGCTGGTGGTAGGTCAACGGGTGGGAAGAGAGTAGCCAAGTTGAAGTCCGGGTGGTTTTTGGTGCTGCTGGGTGACGAGGTGGAAGAAGCAGTGGAAGCCCAGTAGTTGACGAAAGCAGAGAAGCTTGCCATGTCGAGGATCTTGTGAGATGCACAGATGGACAGTGCCATCCCTCCGCATTCAAAGCTAGTAACCTGAACCAATGTCGTACTGAAACTATATTAGAATAGAATTCATTCAACTCCGTAGAAAGTAATACGAGGATCGTAGAGCTATATTCGATATCTACTACCATGACTGGTTAAAAAAAATTACAGAGTCAGAGTTGATTCGGGGTTTTAACTAGACGTACCTGAACCAGCAAGGGACTGCTCAAGCTGGTGAATTTGTCGGAAAAACCATCCGGGAACAAGAGATTCAGAGCCTCGTCGCGTTGGTCCCCATCTGGATGGCTTAAAACTGTAGACAGCTTCGAGTTCATCCGTGCTTGAAGGAAGACGACCCCTTCATCGTTACAGTGAAACGTTAATGGATCATCTTCATCATCTCCCATTCTCCCAGCTAGAGGGTAGTATGTGGACAGTGCTTCCGAGAGGGATCGTTTGAGCACACGGGTTCTGTCGTCAACGAGATCAGCAAGGGAAGTATCTTCATGATTCGGTTGATGGTGATGGTTGAGGTAGAAGTAGAGAAGAGGGACGTAAAATGGTGGAGAAAACTGGTCGAAGAAGGAAAGCCTGTGAATTCTGTGGCTGTCTGGTGTTGGAATAGATGGTCTAACCATCTCTGTGGAGAACACCTCTGGTTTTCCTGGAAGCAGCACCATTCCTCTGGCGTTTCCTTAGCTGGCCGTATTAGTGAAGGACTATGATCAAGGAAGAAACAAATAGAGCAGTTTGTTGACTTTGTACATAGCAAAATGAATTATAATAAATACAACTTGCTGCAAATAAGAATACCTTGCTTCCCAATTTGCAAAAGTCCAAACGAATTCAGCTTTGCTTGCTCACCTCAGACAGCCAGACGACAGCCAGGTTATTTGTTGTCTCCAATCTGTAAAGTCACTGTTACTATATTTCAGAAATATTTTTTCCCGAGCTAACATATTCATGACACAATTTGGTTATTCGAACAACAAATGTTCAGCATCAAAATCATCTTACAATATTTCATACAAAATATTCACACATCACTATTAGACAATTCGAATTATCTGATACCAATATCCGCACAAAACAATCCGAGTATAAAGCTCAAAAACTTTGCTTTTTCCTCTTTGGAGTATCAGTCCTGTTATTTGGCAATGGTCCTCAAAACCATTTTTGTGAGGATCTCTCCGCAACCTTCTGTTCTCCATTCCCAACTAAATACTTTTTTATTATTATTCATGGAAATGTGAAAAACACTTACAGAAGTGGCAAAGCCCATGAAACAAAACCAGAGTGCAGCAGAAAAGAGAGGAAAAACAGATGCAACAAGAAAGGGATAGTAGGTGCAAATGTGCAAGCAGACATTGCACCAGAAAGACTCAGAGAAGATGAAGCATAACAAACAAGGACCTTCTTTGCCAGTTACTTGAAAGGCCAGAACAAGCCGTTGTGGCTAAATCTTCATCTGAAGCTAAGTGTCATGGTTTAGTCACCTCGATTGTGAAGTTTTCTGGTCTTAGGGTCTGCAAGATGAGCATGGTACTCTACACTTTGGACCTGCACATGTGTACAGCATTGCAACAGTTGCTAAGCTAAGTTTGATTTGTTCATGAAAACACCTCAGTAGTGCCAATAACACAAAGAAAAACGTACCGGATCATTACTGGACCAACAACCGGGTTGATCCAAGCAAAGGCTAGGAGCTTTTGGTCACGCTCAAGAGCAGCCATTTCGTGTTCTTCCAGAGACACAACTGCTTCGATCCCAAGTCCGTCTCTTGTATCCAACAAGATGATTGCATCTGTCAGCGCAAAATCAGCAGCTGTAACCCACACTGGTTTTCCCCAACCGAAATCTGCTTCATATATGGGGATCCGCACCAGCTGGAGCACGGGTACACCTTTGCATCCTCTTCAGTACTTGCCTTCCTGAACTCTTCCGTTGTCTTTATGATGAAAGAGCGAAACTGGTTCCCAACAGATTCCGCAGCGCAGGAGTTGAAATACTCAGTTTTCACTCTCCTGATCATACTGACCAACAGAACCAGGTCTTTCTTCATGCCTTCTGCAATTGACATTGCAAAAACTGAAGACAGATTTACTGTGGAACGAGCAGGTGGGAGTGGAGACATTAATCTACGGCGCAAGTTCACAGCTTGAATCAAAAGGGCCGACCTCAGCTGGGACGCACCACCACCTTTGGATGAGGAGCAGGCCGTCGCTGCTGATATAGCACAAGAACAAAGCAGTGCTAAAACCAAATCAACCATTGTGGGATTCTCGACTTTGCTCCCCACAATAGCTTTGAGCTTCGCGACCTTGGAAGTATCAAAGACAAACTGGTTAACGACGTTTCTGACCTTCGGAGGCTCGACAGTCTTTGTAACTGGTAGTTCAACAGGTGGATACAAAGTAGCTAAAGTGAATTCCAGATGATGATGATCAGGCTGCTTGATGTTGTGTCCCAAAGTGGAAGCTGTGGCGGCCCAATAGTTGATGAAGGAACAGAAGCTGGACATGTCTAGGATCTTATGTGACACGCAGATGCCTAGTGCCATCCCTCCACACTCAAAGCTAGTGACCTGAACAACCAAGGGGCTGCTCAGGTTCGTGCTTTTGTAGCAAAGATCATCCGGGAACAAGAGCTTCCGAGCCTCGTCTCGAAGGCCTGCATCTGGATGGTTTAATATTGCAGGCAGCTCCGTGTTCATCCGTGCTTGCAGGAAGACAACCCCTTCGTCGTTACAGTGAACTGTTAAGGGATCATCTCCCATCCTTCCTGCTAGTGGGTAGTACGTGGATAGTGCTTCCGAGAGGGATACTTTGAGTGCACGGATTTTATTGTCGACAATATCAGCAACACTATTGAGATGGCTTTCATGGTCGAGGTAGAAGTAGAGAAGAGGGCCGTAAATTGGAGGAGCCAACTGATCGAAGAAGGAAAGGCTGTGAATTCTGTGGCAGTCTGGGGTTGCAGTAGATGGCCTAACCATCTCTCTGGAGATCACCTCTGGTTTTCCTGGAAGCAGCACGATTTCAATGGCGTTTTACTTAGCTAGCTAGATAATGGTGTTTGCTTAGCTAGCTAGATTAGTGAAAGATTATGCTCTAGTGGAGCATCTTGCCGCAAACAAAATCCCTTGATTCTACATTCGCAAAACTCCAATCTGATTCTTTTTTGCCTGATCAAACAAACAAGGCTCCATTTTGCTAGCTTACCTCAGATAGCCTAGTCGAAAGGAGTCAATAACTCTACAAAGCTTTGGCCACCAGCAAAGAATGGGGACAGCCAGTTGACTTGCGTCTCCAATCTGTATGGTCTAACCATCTCTATGGAGAACACCTCTAGTTTTCCTGGAAGCAGCACCATTTCTCTGGGTTAGCTAGCTAGCTCAACTAGTGAAGAGTATGCTTAAGGGCTGAAACAAATGGAGGTTACTGGCACCATCCTTATAGCAATTTGGTTCAACGTCTATCACACTGCAAGCAAACATTTCCGTACACAGATTTTGATTGCAAACGGTAGAGAGCCTATCTGCCAAAGTGCCAAAAACCCGAATAGCCTAAGTTTGAATAAGGAGTCCACAGAACAAGAATAGCAACTTCAATTGGTTCTCGGCCGCAATCTGTACGAAATAGAATTACAAACGGAAACAAAAAAGATAGAGCATAGCAGCAATACGTACTTAAGGAACGATAACTCTCGGAATCGCTGCCGTCTCGCCGACATTTCCCGCTCTCTGACGATCATTCTCGCCGCCATATTTTCCCCCTTTAGCGTGGCTCTAGTCCAATTCTCTATTAACCCTTCTCCCATGAATCCACCACCGCCGTTGTCGCATTCGCGATAGACCAGCAGTCGACTCATTGTTCTTTCCGTCCGCCGTTATTCAGCGAGCGGGGAGCGTAGCTCCTGTCGCTCTCTGCTGATCGCCGGGATTCTCCGACGCCGCCGCGGCGATCCAACAAGTAACTTCCTTTTTCCCGATTTCCTAAACTCAGCGGACTAGTGTGCTTTTTACCGCTTTGGCGCCGCTAGCGACACGTCGAGAATAATGCGGAAACCAATAAGAATACGCCAAGTCATTCAATTTGCCGCGTGTAATCCAGCCGGAGAATCAAACAACAAATATTTTGACACGTGGATACAAAATACATTTTTTACCCTGGGAAAATGCTGACAAGACAAGGCACTGAAGCAAAACACAGTTCACTGTTGCATTTTACATTATAGCCCCTGGACAATGCGCCAGGTTGTCCGCTCAAACTCGGTTAGAGCAAGTCAAAGTATGTGACCCAAACCGGTCAATTGCTGCCAACTAAAGTTGTCTAGAAGGTAATTGTTCTGAGGTATGCTTGATCCTCAACTTTACTAATCCACTATGTACAATTGGGGAGCAGATTCGTGAGTAAACTTGTGGTGAGTAACCCCATGAATAATCCAATAAGAATCTGCCACATCACCGTCTCCTTCTTTCTTCTGGAAAAATTATTAATTTTCTTTCCCTTAATATTTAACGGACGGTTTCTCACTCGTTTTAACTCAGAATTTAATTTTTTTTCACAATTAGATCAGATTAATTGTGCTCTTCAAAATGATATCCACTTTGATATTTTTTGAAACAAAAAAAATTTGCCAGTTATTACCAGTCTATACCATATGGTATTGACTCGTATTAAATAACAGCATGTCATATGGTATGAAAAATACCAGTCAATACCATATGCTGTTATTTAATACCAGTCAATACCATATGGTATTAAATAACAACATACCATATAGTATGAAAATACCACCTCATACCAGGGTGGTATAGTATGGTATGAAGTTGGTAACGAGAGGTTTGAAATTTTTTCCCCCATAAAATTTGGAAATCTAATAGATCATGATTAAATCGTTCCTTTTGTGCAAAATATTTCGAAAATGACTAAACAACGAAGGAGATATCATATGGTATGGAGTTGGTAACGAGAGAGATGAAATTTTTTTTCCTCAAAAAATATTGAAAATGGATATCATTTTGTAGAGTACAACGAACTAGTTCCATCTGTGCACAAAAAAAAAATTGAAATCCGAGTTAGAATGAAGAAGATATGATTCAATTAAGAAAACTAGGAAAAATAAATTCCTTTAATTCTCCACCCTTAGATCTGCAGTCACTTAAAAGAAGGGTCCAGATTTGGTTACTCATTGTTACTCATCCTAAGGTTACTCACCCTATCTTGAGCACTCCAATTCAATTAATATTTCTATGATTAATTAGCAATTTTCCTAATGTCGACTTGTTTACATTATGGAATATCAATAATGATCTTATTAAGCTATTTATAAATTAGATTTCGTAAATATAATTTAATTGACTCGATACACGACATTTAAAGTTTATTACAAATCGTCTCTTATTATCCTACATATATCAAATCGATCAAAAAGCGTGATCAATTTTTCTCCTACATAATTGAAGCTATGATGATCTTGCATCTAATTGCCTCGTAGTTAGTTAGGTCTTTCTTGAAATCCATCAGAATTCCTGATTGAATTTATTCGACGAGGGATAGTTTATGGACAACTTATAAGCCGATTGATCTATTATTGAACTCAACTGCCACCAACCAATTTGACCAATCCTGTTGTATGACGAGGTTATTATGGGTATTCCGCCTTCCATGAAAGAAATTGTAAAAACGAAAAGGAAATAAACTAATCGCAATCAGAGTCTTCTTGTCGCAGAGATCGTTTTCTTTCATCCAAATTCATTTACATGAAAAACAATATATGGATCGTCGATCTGCTTAAAATTGGAGCTAAAACAATCCACAGCGAATCAGAGAGATTCTCGTTAGGGTTTTTCTGATCCGTCCTTCCAGTGCTTCTATCCCCACTCTCCCGACATGGCTGCTCCCTTCTTCTCTACTCAGTTTCAGCCTTATGTCTATCAGGTACCTCTCTTGTTCTCTGCTAGCAATCGCCTCTTTGAGGGAGTTCACTTTGCCTTTTAGCTTTAGGAAATCAGGCCATAGAAGAATTATCCTGTCAATTTTTTGTTAGTTTTAGTTGTGGAGTAGTGTCACAATTGTGCAGATTTTTCTTTCTTTCTTTCTGCCCAATTTGATTCTAGTGGTTTGCTATTTGACCACTCTGCCATTGGCGGAGGAGTGTTGGTTGCTCAATTTGATCAGCATAGATCGAAGGAACTTGGCTTTCTGCTTTGATTTTTCAAATGTGGTTGTAATGTACTTGCATTAGTTGAGTGTCAGGCTCAGAAAGAGGGAGGGTTACTAACGTACGGAGAGGGAAAACACAATTCTCTGCTGTTTTTGGGCATTTTCAGTCACGAGAACTTCTGGGTTTCGTAGGTGGTTTAGTCTTATTGGAAGAAGGAAGAGGGAAGAGTGAGGTGAAAATGCCCATAAGCAGCAGTGGTATGTGGTTTAGTATTAATGGTTCGCATAATTGTGTGTAAGACTTGGGTTTTGAGTTTATCGTTACTGTTGCATGATGTCATAGTTGATAATGTGCTTGCAGAGTCAACAAGCTGCTATGATTCCTTTCCAGATTTTGGGTGGCGAAGCACAGGTGGTTCAGGTATGCATGTAGTTTTCAAGCTCTCTGGCTATTGGCTTTCTATCTCTCTAGTTTTGCTCATCTAATTTCTTTCTGTTATTCCTTGGTTGTCAGATCAAGTTGAAACCGCAAGAATTTGTTATTATACGACCAGGTCAGCATAGTAATTGTCATTGTTGTATTCATGAGCACTCTTACTTGTGAATGCAGATATCAGTTATTCCATGGATGTCCGCATAGCATTTCATCCTTAAACTTGCATGACAGTTATAGTTGTTAAGTTATGCTTGATTTTACTGGCTTGGCTGTTCCTTTAGAGTTTTGGATAATTTAGAGATGTTGAGTGGTAAAGCATACATCTTTTTGTGTGGCATGAGCTTGTAAGTTTTTCGTAGGAGTGGTTGTTACTGAAATGTTTGTGAAGTCTTCTAGTTTGGTGCTTGATACTTGCATAAATGTGGTTTTCAGGTGCCATGTGTTTCATGTCCGGGTCCGTTGAAATGGTGAACATTTTTATGCCTGAGAATGAAGTAGGAATGTGGCATTGGCTTTTTGGCAAGACTATTACCAGTGTAGTCATTCGTAATACTGGTTCAAGCGATGGATTTGTTGGAATTGCTGCACCTTCACTGGCAAGAATTCTCCCGGTGTGTGGTTAAGTTTAGGAACTCCCATGAAGGTTTACCTTGAATTATTTTTAGTTTCTATTCTGGAACCGGAGCCTAGTATTGAGCTATACTTTCTTTTTTTGTAGATTGATTTGGCTATGTTCGGTGGGGAAATTTTGTGCCAGGTAAAGCTACGAAACTGTATTTGCAGTCCCTGTAACATACTACCTGCTACATGTGCTGTTCTCCTTTTTTCCAGTCAGCCACTTTAGTTGCTTGCCTTTATATATTGAAGCATACAGGATAACCTTTATTTTTCTTATGTGGTTCCTTGATTTTTGCTTACAGCTACAAATTTATGTATCTCTTCATTTGTTGTGTAGCCAGATGCATTCCTTTGCTCCATCAATGACGTTAATGTGAATGTTGCGGTTGATCCAAGGGCGCGTAACGTGATGGGTAGTGCAGAGGTAAGATATTTTGAGCTTTTAATTTTGTGAAATAAACTTTTTGCCAATCTTATTCATGGTGTTCAACGTGGTTATGAATTATTGACGTGTAACAGGGATTTCTGAGACAAAAACTAACTGGACAAGGTCTTGCATTCATTATTGCTGGTGGATCTGGTATGCCTCCACATCCCAACTAGTGCGTGATAAGAAAATTACACTGGATTTTCCTTGATAACAAGTTGCTACTAACATCTCTTTTGATTCTTTTGTCCTTAGTTGTGCAGAAGAAGCTTGATGTTGGAGAGGTACTAACTGTGGATGTCTCCTGTATTGCCGCGGTTAATTCCACTGTCAGTGTTCAAATAAAGTATAACGGTCCCCTTAGAAGGGCTGTCTTTGGCGTAAGTATATCTCTCTCTCTATCCTTTTTAACTGCTTCTGTCACGAATCTTAGTGGTGGGTTTGGGATTGCAGGGAGACAATATGGTAACAGCTACCCTAACGGGACCAGGGATCGTGTTCATCCAGAGTTTGCCCTTTCAACGTTTTTCCCAACGCATTGCAAGGTAAACATCTTGTTACTTGCTTGACTGCGATTTCAGTATCAAGGTGCATAATGATGTTCTGGTGTCCCCCGCTCTTTTCTCTTTTCTGATGCTCCAGGGCAGTGACATCGCCGAACATGAGAGAGAATCCCAAGTTCTTTGTTCAGATAGCTATCTTCTTCATCCTAGCGTACGTTGTGATTGTATCCTCCTTGATCTTGACTGATGTATGATATGGCAGTCTAGTGGCCTCTTTACATTCTTTCTCTTTCCAGTTAACCATTCCTCTTTGGGGAAAACACTGAACCACATAGTTAGAGTGCATCAAATCATTGTGCCATTGCCATTATCGTTGCCAGTTTTAACATAAATTGATAGACTTAATCATTATGGTTTTGTGTTCGATTTCATTCCGTCGAGTTGGTTCGTCATAGTGCAGGTAAACTGATGTAAAATTTTATATATTTAGATTTTGAACTTGCTGAGTGAAGTGGATTTGGTCGTTGCTGCGTGTGTATATTCCCTTATCGTGATTGCCTTTCGCCTGTTTCTGAATCGACCATATTCATTCCAGATAGAACTTCATTTGGGGGTTTAGGAAGAACACCATACAAAACGAAGCAGATCAGGCCAACCATCTTTGGCTACGATTAATTGTGCTTACCAATACCACGTAATAGAACCAGGACACGATTGATTGTGCTGTAACACTCGATAAAAAGCTGAATTACGAGTTATCTCTGGCGGTGCACGTAGGAATGAACAAATCAAACCAAAATCCAACATATTTGTGGGTGGGTGTAGCCGTGTAGGTTTGCATGAATAAAACTCGAAAAATACTCAAACCAATTTGTGATACTATATTATTTCGTAGAAGTCTTATATATTTTCATATATATTTCTTATTCGACAAATCTCATCAGTATCAAAAAATTGATCAATTATATGTTATTATATTATTTAAGAGCAATCTACTTGAGGTGGATGTTTGTTTATGTTGGTTAATGTTTGAGATATCACAATCATTTTAGATTAAAAAGTAGTTGATTACTTAAGTGGATTAGATTAGTGGCTTCTACATGTTTTTGGTACTTTCTATTTGATACATGGTATGATTTGTTAGAACTTAGAAGATAAGCACACCACATTAACAACAAATGAGAACAACGAATGGATAATGTCAAGATAAAATTGCCGAACAACCAATTTCCTAAACACCAAAGTTTAGTATTGACTTGTGAGAGTGAGAGAACGGGAGAAAACTTTAATAGTGGTTGCATTCGTCAAACGTAGACCAAAATATTATTGTGATCAATGAACTTCTAATGAAATTATCATAATGGTAAGATAAATGTCACGTGACACGTTTATTTAAGCTTCAATGAATCTTGGGTCCAAATTGTGTCTTGCTTCATTCCAAGTGGTAAAATTCATTTTGGCATGTAACATTTTTTCCAAAAAGTTTCCTCTATAATATATGGTCAAGGTAACTAAAACGTAATAATCACGAGCATTTTCCTCAAAATCGAACACACACAGATCCTCTTTTCCTCTATTGTTTGCTTTGCATACATAAGCCTTTTCTTGTTGCCATTAACCATGCTATCGATTCTAATTATATTTATTGTCTTAAAATACATAATCATTATCCAACGATTTCACACTTGCTATTTTAGACGACTCATATCTCTTCCTTTGTGCCTCTGTCCCCGAGTGTCATCATTTTCTGTAGCTCCTCCAGTCATATCAGCAGGCTAGTGGGTACAAAGTTAACTTACCAAAATCCAGTCACTTTTAGCACCTAATGTCTTCCAAAGCCAACTTGATCAATTCACAACTGGGATTCTCGGCTAGCCCACCTCACAAACACTATTTCAGACTTCCTTACCGTATGTCCAACACTAAACAGGGAAATTTATTGTTCACAAAAGACAACTTGGTCCAATGGCTTCAATAGTGGAAATCAAAGCTGAAGACTCTTTCTACCCAAGAAACCATAATGAAACCAGTTGTTGTTGCTTCACTAATAAATGTCAGGTATTTTCCTCATTCTCCCTTTATATAGGTTTCACAGGCTACCACACCATATTGGGCATTGCAAGGCGTTTTTGAAAGGTCGAAATATCTTGTTACAAGGCTTAGGTTGGCTCATCAGCTAGAGGACAACTATACATATCACAAATGATCATTTGCGTCAGCATTTTCTTCCTAATATGGTTTTGACTTTTGCTTTCGTTTCTTCTCTTTTTAATCAATAGTCTGGGGCTTGACGAGTGGAGTTGTTTCGAGGTTTATTTGATGAAATTATTGTCAAGTTCCTATTGGTATCCCCATTTTGGTCTTCTTGTGTCTGATAAGGTGGTATGGCATTATGTAGCTAGTCCAACTTGTTTGAGCCGTTTTACACTTTTTTCTAAATATATATGCATATAAAATAATAAAAATTAAATGATTAAAATGGATTGTACCTGGTTTATATCTATTAAAAATTTATATTCCATTAAAAAAAACCTATCTCCGTACCCATCCACCATCCCTTTCCCTCTCCCCCCTCCCCTCTTCCAACAATCTGACCGCTGACTTTGTGAAAACCATTTTAGAGCACGACTTTGATCGGACCTGGTATAATCGATGGGCAGTAGAGGTTTAACAACCTTGTTTATAACACTCGTGAATAATTATTCATGACTTGTCTATTTTATATTGTAGTCACTTAGTTGTCTATGATTGAAAAAAATTGACATAACAAAAAAAAGTGTGTATGAAAAAACATAGGATAAATAGGAAACACATAATCATAATCTTTAGCTAATATTTCTTTCTTTTCTTGAGAAATAATACACATATATCAATATCTACACCTTTAAGTATTATACACAATAAAATAACAAAATTAGTGAGAAAATAACATTACATATCCATACTCTATGCAACAAAGAAAATGGTTATCAGCCAACATACTCAATTTTATTTTAGTTGAAAGAAAATCTTATTCACTCAACAACAACAAAAAAACTCCTATCTTATTGTACCTACCTCGCTAATGCACATGACCCCATCAATGTGCATGAAAACTTCAGCCCGACTTTCATGATTTGTCTTGTACTACGCTTATTCCATGTTAAAATAATTAAATCCGAATGATACACATGATCAATTACTCTATAAATATAAAAGATTTAAATAAGTGAAATCATCTACAAAATTGGTATTCATAAATTATGTTATTTTAAACTCATCCATTTCTAACCCCCCTTTTCACAAAGTCAGCGGTCAGATTGTTGGAAGAGGGGAGGGGGGAGAGGGAAAGGGATGGTGGATGGGTACGGAGATAGAAATGGATGAGTTAGAAATGGATGGGCAGTAGAGGTTTAACAACCTTGTTTATAACACTCGTGAATAATTATTCATGACTTGTCTATTTTATATTGTAGTCACTTAGTTGTCTATGATTGAAAAAAATTGACATAACAAAAAAAAGTGTGTATGAAAAAACATAGGATAAATAGGAAACACATAATCATAATCTTTAGCTAATATTTCTTTCTTTTCTTGAGAAATAATACACATATATCAATATCTACACCTTTAAGTATTATACACAATAAAATAACAAAATTAGTGAGAAAATAACATTACATATCCATACTCTATGCAACAAAGAAAATGGTTATCAGCCAACATACTCAATTTTATTTTAGTTGAAAGAAAATCTTATTCACTCAACAACAACAAAAAAACTCCTATCTTATTGTACCTACCTCGCTAATGCACATGACCCCATCAATGTGCATGAAAACTTCAGCCCGACTTTCATGATTTGTCTTGTACTACGCTTATTCCATGTTAAAATAATTAAATCCGAATGATACACATGATCAATTACTCTATAAATATAAAAGATTTAAATAAGTGAAATCATCTACAAAATTGGTATTCATAAATTATGTTATTTTAAACTCATCCATTTCTAACCCCCCCCCCCCCCTCATCCATGGGTCCAATCATGCCATGTTATTAAGAGATTTAGGAATTAACAACTAATCGAACTAAAACTTTCAAAGACCTTATCACTTATAGTTTGTATAACAATATCATTGCTTTATGGTAGTTCTAATAATTAATACTAAATTAAGAATTAAACATCACATCTACACATTCACTACTATAATTTAATATGCAATATTTAAATAAATTATATTTAGGTTGCAATTTTAAAATTCTGATCCATTTATAAGATAGACGTAAATTAAATTTATTATTAAAATTAAATTTTAAATAATCAAAATATGAAATTCAAATATCAAACATCAAAGAAAGAACTTATGAGAGAGTTAATGGACTAGCTACAAATAGTGGAATAGTCATATGACTTTCAGATGTTAGCTTTTTTCTTTCTTTATTTAGAAAGATACAAATAGGGATGGCAATGGGTCGGGTCGGGGACGGATAGTGCATATTCGTTACCCTACCCAAAGTAGTTCGGGTTTTACCCATAACCATATCCACATATGAAACGGGTAGAAAATTAAAACCATGCCCATACCCGTTCGGATTTCGGGTATCCACGGTTATCCATGGGTAATGATTTCTCTTCATAACTCCAACCAATATGTTAACATTCACACGTATTCTCACATTTCGTATGAGGAAAAGTATGATAATAATTCTCTAGAATGAAGAAAACTAATTAAAACAACACAATTTCATGAAAATATTATATTTATATGCTAAATATAAAAAATGTTAGAGAAAAATAATGATTATTTCAAGACAAAATACATATGTATGTGTATAATCGGGCGGGTTCGGGTTGGATAGTGAGAAACCCATGCCCACCCATTACCCGCAATATTCGGGTTCGAGTATTACCCGTACCCACTAAATGTCCTTCGGATTCGGGTTTTACCCTACCCAATTAGGCCGGGTTCGGGCGGATATCCATGGTTACAGATATTTTTGACATCTCTAGATACAAACTGTTTCTTTAGTCTAAGGCCCCGTTTAGTATCATTTTGTTGCTGTTGTGGTTGCAGTGGTGTTGTGTAAACAGATGTACAACCACAACAGGAAAAAAACAAAAAACACAAACCTGTTTAGTTGATAAATCTGATAAATTATGAAAACTGAAAACAAGAAACAAAAACGCGTTTAGTTACTATTATAAGAACTAAAAACTAGAAAAGAGATGGAGTAAGGCGTTTATGGAGGGGAAGTGGTCGGCGGACTGGCGGCGGAGGCATGGCGTCGGCGGCGGTTGCGCGGGCGGGCGTCGGCGGGCTGGGCGGGCTGCGGCGGGCGGAGGCGAGGCGTCACCGGGCGGAGGCGGAGGGGTCGCGCCGGAGGCTGGGCGAGGGCGACCTTCGGAGGTGAACTCCTCTGTCGTCGAGAAGAAGATGGAAAATGGTATGGGGGGCGGCTGATAGTGATATGTTGAAGTAGGGTTTGGGGGGGGGGGGGGGGCTGAGTTAAAAAAAAGAATTTTTTTGCTTCTGTGGGGATTCGAAAAGTGGTATGGTTTAATGAAATCAAGTGCCCAACCAGTAGGAATCCCGTGTGCAACATGTTTGAGAATCAGATCCAAAGCAATAAATTATTGTTTCTCATATTTGGGCCTTGTTGTGCAACTCTGATTCACAACAGAAAATAAAAACCCAACTAAACACGATTTTTTTTCTTGGCTTTCCAAATTTCATAAAACAAAACAGACAACAAAAACAAGCAACAATACTAAACGGGCCCTAAGTGGTAATGATTGTTTTCTTTCTCTAAAAAGACCCAGAGATTAATAAATTTTTTTTCTTATGATTAATAAATAAATAATAATTGTAAAGACAAATTTATCCTTCCTATTTTCGCTCTCGTGGCTTGAAATTTGAAATGCTGAAAAATTGCCATCAACTCTGACCTCTACTATAATATATTTGTAAATTTGGCCTGAAAGGTTTTGTATATTTAAACTCTTTAGCTTTAACATATTTTTCATTTTTGGAATATCTATGAAAAAGGAAAGAATGGGTCAAATAAGCCCAAACAGCATCGTTGGCCCAACCCAATCAGGTTAACTAAGGCCCATTATCTAGACCAGAGCTGCGGTTATCCCATCATCACAAATAAGAAAAGACCGTAAATTAAAAGGTTCCGAACTGTCAATCAGTTCGGGACTTTGGGTCGATTGATAAGCGAAAAACCGCTGCTTCTCTCTCTGTCTTCTCGAGTAAAACATCCCCAATCTCTCATTCTCTCTCTCTCGGATTATCCCCAAATCCGGCTCCAACGAGCTCTCCCTCTCCACTGGGGAATCCTGCGCGGAACCCTAACCCTAGCCTTCTGGCTATGTCACACTCTCGGTTTCTCTTCTTCGCTGCCTGATAAGCCCTAAGGGGGAGCATCCTTCCTAGGTCGGCAAGACTTCCAGGAGCCGGGAATCTCCCTCTTTTCGAGATTTCGCTTCAATCGATGGAAGATTGACGGGGCTCCTTGTGTCGCGGTTGACTCTGCTTCGTGGAAGAACTCGTCGCGTTCCCGATCAGAGGACCTGATCTCGGCTTCGGTTTTATTGTGTTCGTGGATTGACTGGGGTTAGTTTAATCTTTGTCGCTGCATACTGCTGAGCTCCCTTGTTCGGGATACACAGTTCGGAGTCGGGGTTGAAGATGTCGCCTGGCTGTTAAATCCTGCACCCAGTGGTTGGATCGCCAATTTGGTGGAGCCACAGTTTTCTGTTAAACAGCGTTGTGATTCCGGAGGCGAATTTGACAACAGTTTGGATGGAGATGGCAGTGGCTTCTTTGTATGGTTCTTGCGGATGCGTGCTGGCCGGAGTATCGTCGGAAAGCTCCTGATTAGTTGGTTTGGTTTGAATACCTTTTGATTGAGCACTTCGAAGAATCTAGAAGGGAAAAAGGGTTCAACTTTTGTGTATCCATGTTTCTATTTTATGGTCATTGAGTTGAGTTGAGTTGAGCTGAATACAAAGGTCCTGTTTTTAGGAGGCCTTTAATTTCTTTCTATTTGGTTTGATTTTGGTTATATATCTAATCTTATAAAAAGGAGAAATGGCAGTGTATTACAAGTTTAAGAGTGCAAAAGATTATGATTCAATCTCAATGGATGGGCCCTTTATATCTGTTGGTACTTTGAAAGAAAAAATATTTGAATCAAAGCACCTGGGCAGGGGTACAGACTTCGATCTGGTGGTGACTAATGCCCAAACTAATGAAGGTTGGTTTCGTTCTTCGTCGTTTAAGTTGTAAATGAAACTGGATTCCAGATATAGATAGATTTCAGGTGGCTTCTTGATGTTTGTGTTAGTTCTCGTTGCGTCCTTTTGAACCCAGGAGTCAGACACCAAGTCATTCTGATAGCCTTGGATTAAGTGCTTTAAATAGTTGAAGCACATGCATTACTTATATAGTTGTCCGCTTTCCCTTCGGTTTTTCTTAGATAAGGAGGTGACATTGTGATCCATGCTTAGTTTTTGTTTAGTGCATCTGGTGAGAAATTTCTCATTAGAGGAGCTGTGCACTATGCATTGTGAAATGATCTTTCGACCTTGGATAAAACTGGCTTTATCTGATTATTCTTGGCTTGTCATGGCTAGGATGGATGGTTGATGACAAGCAGTCGTCTAGGTGAATTATAAATTTGGTTTCATCACTAATTAGGTTTGGTATTTTATGGTTGTGTTCTTCTCTGTTTTACTTTCAGAGTATCTTGATGAAGCATCATTAATTCCAAAAAGTACTGCTGTGTTAATTCGCCGAGTTCCTGGTCGCCCTCGCATGCCCATTGTTACTGAGCAAGAGTACTATCTCAAACCTTTATGTATTGTATAATGTATACTGTTTTGTATCCCCACATTTTGGATATTGGTTGGGCTTCTCGTAACTGTGATCATCCTTGTGACTACAGTCTGTGTTGTTTAACCTTTGTACTGTTAATCGAAGTGACGATGGTCACTGTAACAGTTCTATTGAACAACTCCTTCTGATAGTGTCCACTAGGATGATACCACATTACGTGACAGACCTCTTCCTTATGTAGCCACTTAAACAGATCTTGAGGACATGTATGAGTTTGGCCATTATATTTGCAGGCCAAAGGTGGAAACTAAGGCAGATGATACCCCGCAGGAGAAAAGTGGCTTTGTAGGTGGTGATTCATCTACTTTTCAATATGTAAGTGTCTACACCAACTTGTTACAGATGCTTCACAAGTACAGCAGCCAGCAGAACACTTATCTGTTTCTGTGTATTCCAACTTGTGTAGACTGATGAGACCGAGTGGGATGAGTTTGGTAATGACTTATATGCAATCCCGGAAGTCGTACCAGTACAATCAAGCATTGCACCTCCTGAAGCTCCTCCTGCCAGCCAGGCTGAAGAGGAATGCAAGATTAAAGCTTTAATTGATACTCCAGCTTTGGATTGGCAGCGGTAAGCCGCCTTTCATTTGGTAAAATTAGGTTGATGGATTGTTTGTTTGTCACTGGCCATTGTAATTCTGTCACTGAGAACTTATATTTTATACACTTGAATTTTCAGTCAAGGTAATGATGGCTTTGGCCACGGTAGAGGGTTTGGCCGGGGGATGGGTGGTAGAATGGGAGGACGTGGATTCGGTGAGTCATTCTGTATATTATTTACAGTTGTAGGATACTAGAAATCTCCCATAATTTAAGTTGCGGAGACTTGTTTGTTTAATTGTAATAGCTCTTCTTGGCGTATAACTTCTTTTTGTTGTTGACTTTGGTTAGGTATGGAGAGGAAAAATCCTCCGCAGGGTTATGTGTGTCACAGGTGTAAGGTACCAGGTATGTAGACGTTCAGGTGATAGTATTTCTCCTTTTTTTATTACTTTAACGATATGTGTGTTCTTAAATGAAATCCTTGTTTCTTTATTCCAGGACATTTTATTCAGCACTGCCCCACCAATGGTGATCCAAATTATGATATCAAGAGAGTAAAGCCTCCAACAGGAATCCCAAAGTCGATGCTAATGGCAACACCAGATGGCTCATATGCATTGCCTAGTGGTGCTGTTGCTGTTTTAAGACCAAATGAGTAAGCTGAGACCCTTTAATTTATTTTCTTTGTTTCCGGGTAGCTTCTGAAATCGCACACCTAGCTAGGCCTTTTTCTCAACCTGTCTTTAGCTTGAAGATTCATTCTGTATCCAAAACTTGTTTCAGGGCTGCATTTGAGAGAGAAATCGAAGGGTTGCCTTCCACGAGACCTGTTGGCGAACTTCCGCCTGAACTTCACTGTCCTTTGTGCAAAGAAGTTATGAAAGATGCTGTGCTCACAAGCAGGTGTTGTTTCAAAAGCTTCTGTGACAAATGTAAGTTTGATCGATCTTCTGTGCTTTATTCTTCCTCTTTAATCTTCACTGTGTTGTCTGCCGAAGTTAGACTACTTAGTTACAGTAGTAATCACAGCCTCATGTGGATTGTGATCAATGTTGCAATGGGCATACTATTTGCTTGACCCTGGGTCCTTAACCATCAGCTTTGATAATTTCCGTGTCTCCTCCTATAGGCTACATGACATCTTTCACATGTCTAATTATGTATGCCTTTTTTACTGTTTTCTGACACAGGTATTAGGGATTACATTATCTCGAAATCAAAGTGTGTATGTGGGGCAACAAGTATTCTTGCAGATGATCTTCTTCCGAACAAGACTCTTAGGGATACCATTAATCGTATCTTAGAGTCAGGGAACAGTAGCGCAGATAATGCTGGAAGCACTTTCCAAGTTCAAGGTTTGATTTTTAACATTTTATGAACCTGAGCTGTACTGTCTGTGGACATTTATTCTTTCTGTAACTCGACCCTTTTTTTAAGGACAGATATGGAGTCAGCTCGTTGTCCACAGCCCAAGTTTCCTTCTCCTACACAGTCTGCTGCATCAAAAGAAGAGCCAAGATTGCCTCATCCGTCTGCTGAACCAGCCGCTATGCAAAATATAAAGCCAGCGCCCATTGAGGAGAAGCCTGTTCCTGGACCTGTCCACCCACCAGCAGTCGAGAAGTCAAGAACTTCTAAGGTGGTTGATGCGTCAGATGCCACACATGAGTCAATGAGCGTGAAGGAGGCAGCAGCATCACAAAGTAGCGCTCCCCTCATGGAGGAAGAAGTGCAGCAAAAGCTTGCTTCTGGCGATGCAGGTAACTTGTTTTTTATTTATCAATTTACTGTCGTGGTCTGCTTTACTATTAGTTTATGATGCTGGAAGCGTAAGAGGTCTAATGTTCGAATTTACTTTTTTGCAGCAAAGAAAAAGAAAAAGAAGAAAGTCCGCATGCCTCCAAATGGTAATTGCCTTACGAAGCTCGTCTGTCTGTCAGTTTTGTTTCCTTTTCGGCTCTTTTTGTATGGCAGACTCCACGTCTGTTTGTTTCAGCTATCGTATAGCTTGATGACCTGCTTCAAATGCTTATAGCAGATATGTGGAAGGGTGGTCAAGATCTCGGACCCGAGAATTTCATGATGCCTATGCCCCCTGCTGCATTCAATCCTTACATGATGGGTGGGATGCAACCACCGGGGATGGATCCATATATGAATCCGTACAATGGTGGTGCTCCCATGCCATTTATGGGTTACGGCCTCGGCCCATTGGACATGCCTCCATTTGGAGGTATGATGCCACCGGATCCTTTTGCTCCACAAGGGTTTATGAACAATATGATGCCAATGATACCACCTCAGAGGTATGTAACATTCAGACTTCTTGTTTTCCTTTTCCCCTCAAATTCTCATTGACTAGGGTATAATAAGCCGATGAATTCCGTTTCTTCCTTGACAGGGATCTTGCTGATTTGGGGATGGGAATGGGAATGGGCATGGGCATGGGGATGGGGATGAATCATGGTCCACCAGCTATGAGCAGAGAAGAATTTGAGGCCCGGAAAGCTGAGATGAGGAGGCGGCGTGAAATGGAGAGGCGAGCTGCTGAAAGGTATGTTTGTGGTCTCTCCCTTTTTCTCTACTGCAATCGGGAAAATGGAGAAGTTGTCATAGGTATCGTAGGATCTTGATGCTCGATGGGATTGGCAATTTAGTTGACAAGAATCAGTCCAGCAAATGATCGATGATCTTTTATTTCTTGTTTTGATACATCTCATGTGTTTGGTCCCATCCGAGAGGTCGAAGATTAGTCTCTGCCAATGGGTTGGAATCGGAGCTCGAATTTGGAAAAAGCTCTTGATACTGATAGCATGCTAATTGTGGACTTGCTGGGTGTGTGCTTGGGTTGAAGTTCTGGGAAATGTAACCTGTGTGAATGTTGTATGTTGGTGGGTGCAGCCACAGGGAGTTTCACAGAGAGCGGGAATTTGGAAGAGAAGTGAGCAGCAGTGGACCCAACGATGGTGGTCCGTCGATGAAATCTGTATGTACTTTTGTTGTGTACTATAATAGAAATCAAATATGTATTTTTTATGAATTATTTGGAATTTCTGTTATTCATAAAAAAGGAGAACGTTTTTTTTTATGGTTAAAGGAAAACGTTTCTTTAAACAGAATGTGGTAGTTTTATTCGATTTTCTCACATAGTCAACTTGTAACTATGGACGGGCACCCTGGGCCTGGTATTCTTTGGACCTTTTTTACTTTAAACAATTTCTGGGCCTTAGCTGGGCTGATGGTATTGTGCCGGCTTTTATTAATCGCTCTAACGCATTTGTTCTTCTGTTGTGATTTTTGGTGTGGTAAAGCGGAATGTCGCTCCGCAAGTGAACGGCGATTCTCACCACCACCGTCACCGACCGGGAAGGCCATCCCCTGACCGCTCCGCCGCCAGGGAGCTCGACGGGCCGCCACCACCGCTTCCTCCGCAGCGCTCGTCCAAGAGAAAGTCGGACCACAACGATCATGGCAGCAGCCGCGACAAGGATAAGGATCGAGACTACGACCATCACAACCACCACGAGCACCGAGACCGCGAAAGAGATCACGATCATTCTGATCGCGATCGTGATCACCACCACCATCACCGCAAACGCTCGGAATCCTCAACTAAGACGGCTTCTGACTCCGCAGCGGCTGCAGCTGCAGCTGCTGCGGCAGATGAACGGAAGCGGAAGGCCAGCGTGTTCTCGCGGATCAGCTTTCCGGAGGGAGAAGCAGCGGCTAGCAAGAAGCGGAAGGGGTCGTCTTCCTCCTCCGCTGCTCCTGAAGCAGCAGCTTCTTCAGCTGCTGGTGGGAAGTCCTCTGCATCGGGGAACGGCTACTACGACAGGAAATCGTCTGCGTCGGCTTCCATCGGTGGTGGAGGCAGAAAGAGCAGCAGTGCTGTGGCGGCGGATTATGAATCGAGCGATGATGATGAGAGGCATTTCAAGAGGAAGCCGTCGAGGTATGAGCCGTCCCCTCCCCCGCAACAGGAGTGGGAAGAGGATGTGAAGCATTCCTCCAGAAGCTCAAGGGACAGGAAGCATAGGGGAAAATGAATGGAGAAGAATCGCTGCAAAGCGCGATCGATTGTGCTCTCATTTCGCCGGCATGGGTTTCTGCTGCTGTATTTTGTACATGATGAGGAGAATTGAGAGATTTTCCCCCAGTCGTTTGTGGTTTTGGAATGTGGAATTTTCCCATTAAAGATAAGAAAAAAAGAGCAGAAGCCACCCTTGTTGCCTGGCGTCTTTCCCTTTTCGTTTTGACGAGCGCAAAGGAATTGTCCGTTATTTATGTGGTTGTTCCTCTTTGTAATAAGAAATCCTTCTGTTTCTTATATGGCCTTGTTTCTTGGCATCGCTCCAGCAAAATGAATGTGTTATTTAACTTGATAGTCATTAAGGGCGATTGAAAATGAATATATAACCCCTCGGTTTGAGTAAACCCACTTGTGAAAAAACTTGATTGGTGAGTTTGGATCACTTGAAGGATTCGCATCGCACTCTTATCTGAAAAATAGCAAATAGGAAGGTTTTTGGATATTCATAAAAACTGACCATTCAATTCTAAAGCAGCAAACAAAGAGAACTTTTGAACCACTATCTAGTGTCTATTGGAGATTGAAAATTTACCAAAAAAATAAAGGAGATTGAAAATCAAATTACAAATAATTTGCTGTATCGTAGTGGTAATAATCATAAGTTAAGAATGTACAATTGGTTGATGAAATGATGAAATAATTTGCATGGTGCCATAAAAGTGAAATCCACATTCGTAATAGCCTTGGTCCATAGCTATACATGATTAGTGATTTTGTTCACTTAATCTAAAATGGCCAAATTATAAGTGTGATTAGTCGATTGCTTGTTTCTCGTTTAACCTAAAATGGCCAAATTAAAAGCGTGATTAGTCAATTGTTTCTTTCTCGTTTAACAAATTGTTCGATGATTATCATTAGAAGATCATAACAGTTAATTTAGTCTGGAGCACCTCGATCGGTTTGCATGTTTTCTTTTTGTCTCTCAATCGGCTGGATTTTGCATCAGTTTATGGTGTTTAAAGTTTGGATTTGATGGAAGAAAGTCACACAAGTAACAGAATGCAGAAACCCAAAAAAATAATTGTTCTGCATAACAACAAGATGTAGCCGAATTACGTGCGCAAAACTGATACAAGCGAGCAACACAATGAGGAAAAATCACCAACCCTACAACATTTTAAGTCGTCCTTTCTTAGATGACGGAACAGAACAAATTGCAGCAACATATGGAACGGAACAGACCTCTTGGACATCATTCAAACAAACTAGCTACTGGAACACCAACGCCCTTCCACCATTCAGTCCTCCTTCACCTGCGGTTCAGCCATGGCCGATAAACAGAGGTTGAGGCAAAAAATGGGGAAATGACCAAGTCCTGAAATGTGCATCTAACCGCAGACTGCAAACACCTGTCAAAATGAGGAGATAGAGATGATAAATTAAGAACACAACCATCATGGATTGATTGGAAAACGGCAAGCAATTACCAACACTCAGATAACAAAAATTGTTAATAATGAAGCTAAGAAGTTGTCCTGCAATGTACCAAGTATCAGGCAAATAACTTGACGTCCTTCATATTGACACAGCATAATCTCCAGACTCATCTTACTTGACCCAGATGGTTCTACAATTTAGTTTTCCATAATAGTTCCCAGACACTAATTGGAGATTGAGTAAAACAATTTCTAATTTAGGTAGCCAACTTCTGTCAACCAACTGGCAAATGAGATTAACTTCTGATCCAGGCTTAAATAGACTCTGACTATTAATCTTTACTTCACTCGGAACCACTATAACTGACAAGTATGAACTATGAAGGGTAGTGATAGAACTGGCATTCAATGGACAAGAATGACGGGATAGCTACAAGTCACCACTGAAAAATGTACGAACTAGTACAGTTATTACCAAAACTAGACAAAACATTCTGTAGAAACAAGACTTGCTACCTGTAAGAATCTTATGCTCAATTCTGTTAATGGAGTAGCCTATAATCGAACCTTTCAAACATGCAACAAATATGTTCTACAGCAGCAGAGTCTTATACATAGCCAACCTATCAGTTAATGAACTATTCGGTTCCAATACAACCAAAGACTACCTATCAGCTACACTTACTAAACGCTTATATATACAGAGAAGCGACTTTCCATCTCCATCTTCAGCTATCACCGTAATCAAAGCATGTCAGCCAGTCTTAGTCTGTGCCCTCCTATGTCCCGTCTTACAGCAGTTGTTGGGTTAGTACCAGTACTACTATCAAACCAATAACATACGGGCCCTCAGTTTGCGAGGTTTTTGGAAAAAAGCTGAAGACTTTCTTGCATTTGAACATGTTTCTCAGATTTTCTGACACCGAATTTCATACTCAAGTGCCTAACAATGGCAATTGGGATCTCAGTCAGGCCAATACTCAAACAGAAAAGTACAGGACAGGGATTAAAGTAAAAGCTGCAACTATGAAAAACTAGAATGAGCTGAACTTCAGCTGGCATCTCAAAAGAGTTGAAAGAAAAACCTGAAGATTGATTTTAAGCTGATTGTGGAATCATCCCAGTCTTCCTGGCATAGGCGAAAATCCCGCCGGCCTCAATCACCGGACCGGCGTCCCCAATCGGCTGCAGCTTGTATTCCTTCCCGGTCGTGTGATTGATCAATCGGCTCTCGCCCAGCTCAATCGTTATCACATCCCCAGTCCTGCACTCTTCGCAAACCCTAACCTCGCTCTCCAGCGGATACACCTCCCCCGTCGCCACCGAGTTCCTGAAAAAGATCCTCGCATACGACTGCGCCACCACCGCCGCCACTCCCGCTGCCCCCAGAGCAACCGGAGCGTGCTCGCGAGACGAGCCGCACCCGAAGTTCTCCCCACCAATCACGATGGAGTACTTCGTCTTCGTCTCGTTCGGCTCGATGAATCTCTTCTCGTAGGAAGCCGGGAGTCCGATTAGGGCGTAGGATCCGAGCTTCTCGTATTCGGCGGGGTTGGAAGGAACGAGGGTTAGGTACTCGGCGGGGATGATCTGGTCGGTGTCGATGTTGTCGCCGACGACGTAGCAGAGGCCATGGAAGGAGGTAGGTGAGGAGTGAGATTCGGCGGCGGCGCGTGGGGTTACGAAGGATGCGCGTCGATTGCGGAGGACGGTAGAGTTGGATGTCAGAGGGGCGATGAACGGGCGCGCCGAAGAAATGGAGGCAAATCTGACTGCCTGTGAAGAGGCCGGAGCGATGGAAGCCTTCGTTTCCGAAAATGCGGCGGCGGCGAAGCTCGACAGTGAGGAAGAGTAAGAAACCGCCATGGCTGCTTTCTTCTGGGTGCGACAGAGGGAGGAGGAAGCTGCAAGGTGTTGAATGTGTAGAATTGAATTGTTCACGGCTGAGGAAATTCCACTGCTCCGCCGCCGCCAATCCGGACGGATATTGGTTCATTTCAACCAAACGAGTTTATAATTTTGGGCCGCAAAAAGTGGGCAAACAATTTGAGCCCATCCCAATTGCACTTTCTGGCCCAACTAGTCAATAGTCAATAGCCAATGGCCCGGTAGTCAGCCCAAACAAAATGTCGGCTCGCTAAGGCTTTGTGACAGGCCACAACGCGGGCAAGATGGACGATCCAGATTTTACGGCGCCGGTCTATAAAATGGCTATTAGGGTTTTGCGTTACAGGTTCGAGCTCCTCCATTTTAAGTGAGCGGAAGGAAACCCTAGCAGGAAGAGGCTGCGTTCTGCTGCGATACAATGGGTATTCTCTCACTCTCTCGATTCCTCGTTTGCTTTGATTCTGTTGAAGCGATTCGTGAAGCCTCACGCTGGATCCTATTGGCTAACTGTGTGGAAATGGTATTCTTAATCGTGTAATGTGTAAACAGGTGCGTACAAGTATGTCTCGGAGCTATGGAGGAAGAAGCAGTCCGATGTTATGCGGTTTCTGCAGAGGGTGAGGTGCTGGGAGTACCGCCAGCACCCGTCGATCGTTCGGGTCAACCACCCTACCCGTCCCGACAAGGCTAGGCGCCTGGGATACAAGGCCAAGCAGGTCAATATTTGATTCACTGTTCTTTGGATTCGGTTCGACTTTCAGCCTTTCCTTAGTGATATCTGAGCTTGATAGTGAATAGTTCTAGAAACGCGAACCTAATCTGCTGGTGTTTGCACTGTTAGCTTTAGATAATCCCTTGTTTTGGATTGGTGCGATGGGTATTCGTTGTGCTTGTTTAGTGGCATGTTGACCACTCTTAGAGGATCGTTACCTGAATTGATCAGGCGCTTCCTGAGGCCAGCGAAAGAAAACCACACAGTCGATCATCTGACCTAGTGGGTTGTCATTTTTTACTGAACTCACTTTTGTTTCGATCCGATACAGTCTCTGCTGCTGTATTCTGTTCGTAGGTGTAAGATGCATTGTAGTTGCTTTCTCGAATGCAGTTTCTTACTTTCACGTGCTTAGCTTTGTTCGAATTGACAATGTTGGTGATAAAACTTGTCAGAGGACTTGTAGGAGTTTATTTGAATCCTTTTGTTGTTTTGTGTGCATTGGTGTCTTATCATTGATGTTTGATGAATGATGCAGGGGTATGTTGTTTACCGTGTCCGTGTCAGACGTGGAGGCAGGAAGAGGCCTGTCCCCAAGGGTATTGTGTATGGCAAGCCCACCAACCAGGGTGTTACCCAACTCAAGTTCCAGAGAAGCAAGAGGTCTGTTGCTGAAGAGCGTGCTGGAAGGAAACTTGGCGGTCTCAGGGTCCTCAACTCCTACTGGGTCAACGAGGTACGATACATGCAAATACAGCCTTCAATTATTCTCAGGACTTCGGTTTAACAATTACTGATGAAATATGATTTACTGCCCTGTAATATTCAGGATTCCACCTACAAGTACTTTGAGGTGATCCTTGTGGATGTGGCTCACAATGCCATCCGCAACGACCCGAGAATCAACTGGCTCTGCAACCCGGTCCACAAGCACAGGGAGCTGCGCGGTCTCACCTCCGCCGGAAAGAAGTACAGAGGACTCCGTGGAAAGGGGCACTTGTACCACAAGAACAAGCCGTCTCGCAGGGCTACTTGGAAGAGGAACAACACATTGTCCCTCCGCCGATACCGTTGAGCTTAGTTGGAAGTGTTTCTCATCTTCGTTGTGTTTCTGGCTTGCCAGATTTTGTATGGGGAACATATTGCCTGTCATCATTACTCAAAATTTTGGACCTGGGATATCGTTAGTATGTTACATTTGGACACCCGTGAATGAATATTTCTGTTGAAATGAAGCATTTCTCTCCTCTGTATCTGTAGGTGATTGTTGCTTATTGTTATTGCTGTACTCATTTGCTTAACTGATTTTGAAGGTAGTGTTCATCAGTGTCTTGGTTCCGAATCATTAGATTGTGGTCTTGACAGCTGCAATTACCGACCCGTTTTTGAGCATAGGCTCAATAACTGATTTAGAACATAAGCTGTTTCATATTTGCGCTACAAAAAGGTTTATACGATGTTATAACCTGTTGGTAGTTTCTACCTAAATATGGTAAAAATACAATTGATAGTTGGTATGTGAAAGGTTGCCACTTGCCAGTACTGTGGTAATAGTTGAAGGTTTCAGACAGTTCCATCTAGATAGCTCTCCTTGAGATTCTGAAGTGCTTGCCTGATTGCATCTTCAGGTTGGCTGGAATATTTCAAGCACAATAGCCGTTGGGCAGCCCGATAAATCATCTGCAGTTGATGATGCTGCTCGCAGTTCACTTCCATTCTCTTCCTTTCCTGAACAAATCAAGCTATAGATGTGTTATCACGTAAGTGTCGGAAATCGACATGGGATTCTAAAACTGAGGTGAGGAAAGAAAGCAACCGTTTGTGTGATCTTTGATGTAATGCATTGTGCTGTATCGATCACCGACCTCGGTAATCCTGCCACTTCTGCTAACAAAAGGCCGTAGTGCGGAATATGTCTTGGTCCATCCTTGAGTTTGAACTGGCACCACCAGAAATTATTATTAGCAGAACTTAGAGACGAGCCTAGAGCTGATGGTGGAAAAAATAAAGATGAGTATGTAGATCTACCTTGAAATCCAGACGGTTGTTAAGTACATCAACGTCGAAATGAAGAATCCTCACGTTCGGATAGAGAGTTGCCAGCTCGGATAGGTTCTCCATGTGGGTTGCAAAGATTGTATACCTGAAGAGTCATTCAACGAAGCTTCTGTGGGTATAATGATGATTACAGCAAACTACAAAGTTCAGACAAATGTCGGCTCTCTATCATAAGAGCATTTTTCTCTGTTACCGATAGACTCTTGTGGTATTAGGCAAGTCTATGAGTGAGAAGCACTTACGCTTTAATTGATAAGAGTTTTTCGCAGCAGCTCCAAGCAATGGAAAATCCATCAGCGGAGGAAGTAGCTCTTCCTAGTTCATCCATAACAATCAGACTTCTACAAAAGCAACAGATTTTGATGAAACAAGAATAGAAACATGTTATTATTTATGGTCTAATTTTCTGCTTCATAATTTATTGGCCAAAAATACGGAGACTGCTGTGTCCTTCACCTTGGGGTAACGTTCTGCATGATGAAAGCTGTCTCTTTCATCTCTGTCATGAACTGTTGCAGCATCAAAGCCAAATAAAATCATTAGTTTTCTGCAAGCAGCAGTGGGGGAAAAGAAATCATTTACCACCATGAAGACAATCTTGCATTTACTGTGTTGGTAACATTAGGTGTTGTGAGGTTTACCGTACTGGAGTTTGATTCTAGGCTATCCGTTGAACCCATCCTTGTGAATATGCGATCAACTATGCGAATAGTTGCGAAGCAAGCAGGAACATAGCAACCAATTTGAGCAAGAATGACTGTAAGGCATACTTGTTGGAGATATGTGCTCTTTCCACTCCTGTTAATGATCAGAAGATCAAACTACTCCATTCAGAAAGGTAACCCAGAAAGCAGAAGTATCAATTGCTTCAAGGAGAAGCAAACCACTAGTAAATGCAAGTTAGAGCATGTGAATTCGGTCTGAAATACTTCTCTGAGGCCATCAGCAACAAGAAAATGGACACGAGAAGGAAATCAACATGAGATGATTAAACAACATGACAGGGAATGTAAACCCACAGAGTTAAAGCTAGAGTATTCTTACATGTTTGGTCCCATGACAATTAACATGTTTGATGCCTCCGAGATAAAGATACCGTTGGACTGAAGAACAAAAGTAAAATCACAGATGAATTATAGTACTGAATGATGCACAGTTTTGGATACAAAACCAAAAACTACGCAAAATAATAGACTGAACAGCAATGAAATGCAGGAGGTTACTCACAACAAACTCATGGTGTATAGTCTCGAGAATTGGATGTCTTCCAGAATCAATTGCCAATGGGCCATCATCTGCAAATGAAATCCAGATAATCAGGCATGGAGGTTCCGCAGTCAAAGTTGCAAGATCCAAGATTCGAACTTCCATTGTGATTTACCAGTAAATTGAGGTCTAGTATATCGGTCGAGAGGCTTTGATGAGATAGTTTGTGCAAATGAATTAACCATCATATCTAAGAGGCAGAGGGCCTCAGCCAGAAGCGTGAGTGTAGTGACATCCTCCCTGATGGCATCTACTAGGGCTGGATGTGTTATGCCATATAAAAAGCTTCATAAGTTCTGAACCAATCAACAAGAGAATCTCGAAAGAGCAGAGATGAAATATATCCTTCATCTATATGGAAAATGAAACTGCTTAAACTAAAAGATATTGAAGAAGCCTGCTACTGTGCATTACAACCTTCAAGGCAAAGTTCTGTTCTTATATAGCATTCTCCAGCTGCAGACTTATTTCTCACATTAAGCTGCACGTATCATTGAAGAAAGCACGATAAATGAAACATTATTCAGACTCCATCTAGCTCGATTAACGTAAAAAGTAATACATAAAGATGTGGGCATCTTCACTCAGATAGACAACAAAGAATAAAGGTAGACAAATCACTACATTTTGCTTTATGGGTGTTGGTAGGATCTTAAAACAACAATATATGAGAACCAGCTTGTTAGACGTCGACTAATCTGGTCCAAAATGGTAGAGAAACTTTTTTCAAATTGCATGATGTATCGTTATCTAAAATTAACAGCGGAAGACACAATAAGAGCATTGCTTACTGGACGAGTTGAATTAATACCTTGTGCATGAAGCAATAACCAGATCACATGCCCCATGCAATGGAGGGTATATATACATATGACCATATAATATTTCTTCGAATAACAGTAAGTTCCATCCTGATTTACACTCTCTATTCAGGTACCAACTTTCACGTGAGAACATTAGGCAGCCAGTAAGGCAAGGCACTAGCCACATTTTTGTCTATTGATAATTACAGATTCTGAAAACCTCTACTTGATTTGTTCCTCATAAAATGACCATAAAATGTCAAATTCCATAAAATAAATAATTCAGCAATCAATCATAGTGAAACCACTACATTGCTATGGAATTGCTACTAAAGAGACACTTACAGAAGCAAGTTCTAGGCTTGTGCAGTGTAGATGGTTTCCATGTTTTACGACCTGAATAGTTCACAAGAACGTTAGAGTCACAGCTAAGAGGAAGCTTCACAAGATAAACAGCTTTAGACATTTTTTTATGCAAGGAACCTGAATGAATTTGCTAGTAAGCTTTCCCTGAGCATCCTTTTGTGGAATGCTGAAGTAAAACCCTTGCTTGTTATTAAATGAAAGTTTCAAATTTGGTAGTCCAAATTCTTCACGATACTTGTTCGCGAGGTTGTGTATAGCTGTAATATCCATGTAGGTAGATTGGATGACACATCATGAAAAAGAACAAAAGAAATAGAAAGATGCAAACACAATTATGTAGCGAACGACTGACAAGGGAATGAGGAGAAAGGAAAACTAGAAAACCTTCACTTGTATCACAGAATGTTCTCCTTGCAATATCCAGAAGTCCATCAATCCCAGCTTTGACTGCAAAGCATTGCTGTGTTCGGGCCACAAAAGGGACACGTGCATGAAGAACATCTTCATCGAACACCTCGCAAATTCTGTGAGTGAATCACTCCATCATATTTTGAAAGCTTTAGACTTGATTAAGAAAACACTATAATGTGAAGCAGGGTGGTTGCAGTTACCTGTTTCTGATGGTAGAGTAATCCTCATTCTCACACACAGTTCTAAAAACATTTGACAGAAGAAAACAACTTGCATCCTTCAAAACCTGAATTATTCAGAAGTAAAAGATTTTCAGACAAGTTTGGGACACACATACTATTTGTGTACGTGATGCAAACCAAAATTCACCTTCCCAAGCAGAGGTAATGCATCCAAAGTTGTTTTAAGCACAATAATGTTTGATATCAACACTTGGCTTTTCTTGAAATTGTCAACACCCATAACCTCATTTGTTACTTTCTTGGGCTTGAAGCAGAAGTTACAGAGTACTCTATCTGAAAAAAGAAGAGGAAAAAGTGGTAGTCACTAGCATGGGAGATGGACCAGCATTGAACGAGAAAGAAGAGTAGAGAAAAATCAAGATGTATGCAGATTGTTTACTATATATCTATATGGTGCTGTACTGCTGTATATTCTAGTTTTACTCACCAGTCTCTTTTGGAAATTTCCGGAGAACCTGAGTGAGTCCGAAGAATAGCTGTTCGTTCTTCATCAGCTCATCCTGAAACCAAATGGTAAGATATGCATGATCACATCACTTCAGTAGAGTTGATAAATTCAAGAAGAATATTTGCAATTATCAATGTAACTATGTAAGGGATGATAAGATGAACATAAAGTACGGACAAGTGAATCACAACAATTCTTTTGGACACCTTAGACCCATGATGGCACCCATACATCGCTTACTAATTGGCTGAAAGCTTTGGCAGCTCAGAATTTCTTCAGCACACTCTCTCCTAAGTGTTGTTAGGGAGATTATACTTGTACAGCAGATGGTGAAAACAAAAGCAAAAACAATTAACTTCCAGAAAGATCCTCTTTGACAGCATTAAAACTATCATAATTTCAGCAAACCCAATGCTGAAGCCTATGCTTGGTGAACTAAGCTAATGCATGCATCTAAAAATCTTATGTTTCAATAACAGTTCAACATAATCATTTTGCCCACATTTTTAACTTGAGTTGATTCTGGGGCTTGTCGCTGTCAGACTTGCTAAAGACCTCAGAACTTGGAGAAAAACAAAATGAGTCTCGAAGACACTCGAGTGTTGATAGCTTTAAGATTCTTAATGGGGGTAACATTGATGATGCATGTAATACTTACAAATATATTTTGAAAAGTTGATTCTGACAGGGGAAGGACGAATGGAATGAAATAACACTTTGTTAATATAACAGGAACTTCAAAGAGAATACTTAAAACTGACCAGGCAATCGAGGCGAGTGTTGATAGTTTCGGTGTCTTTTAAGGGCTGCAACAGATTGGCACGAAGGAGCCTGGTTCTGAAGATAAATTACATAAGTAAGCTTTATACGCACATGGTAGATATGATCGAGCACTAACTTGAAGAATTTACATATCTACAATTTGATAGGACACTTAAGGTTCTAATTACTGTGTATGAGTAAGCTTCAATTGTGCTGTGGGATGAAAGATTCAATATAGGATAACCCTCATACCCTCCTATGGTCTTTGTTGTCTTGAGCATTTGGAAAAGACTTCTTTTTTTGCTGGTTGTGCCCAAAAGTGAAGAGTGAAATGGCTCAATTATTTCCAAGTTGTGAACACTGCAAGAGATCCCATTTGTAAATCAAACAAAGTTCTAGAGAAGAATATTATTATGATAATTTTGCATTTGAGATTGTAAAACATAAGAATATATCACACTGAAACTCAGACAAAATCCAAAGAAAAGAACAGATTACCTAGTTGCGTCTATGCTCATGTGATCAAATGATCCGTTAAAGGTAACCTGGAGAGCAGCAGAAGTTATGAGGGAATCAGTCCATTTTGCCTGTAAGGAATGATGTCATTACCACAGAGGCAGATGCCTTTACAGGATTTAATGAGTAGCTGTAGCTTTTTCCAAGTCAACTTGGCACAGATAAGAATGGCCAATATAAGTGAATCATATCATATAAGCTCGCTCTGATAATCATATTGATGAGTATCAATGTCAAGATGCCTAAACTGAAAAAAGATTTTAAACTAGATAAAAAAGACTCAGTTGCATTGCTGAGGGATCCAGAGTTGCAGCTGATGGAAAAATGGCATCCTTGTCTCAAGGCTAACTGTAGGGGGAACCTATCTCTTGATGAACATACCGACAAGGAGTGATTTGTCACGATAAGTCCTTTCTCAGCTTCTATCCTGCGGACGAGCCAGTAAAAAACTCATCTTAGATAGAGTGTTAATTCAATAAACTTACGGTCAATGGCAAAATGTACGATGTCAATGTTCAAACTCCATAAACAAACAGGTGATAATTCCCAAAAAATCAATGTCCCAGACTTGAAATGTGAAACATAAACATCAATGACAGTTCAGAGCAGAAACCACTCAAAATACCACTTGATTGTAGCAGCAGCGGCAGCCAAACAAAGATAATATTGTTTGTAGTAAGTCTCTAGACTGAGGGCTGACGGCTCCTTTGCTGCTAAACTTTTCACTAGGACGGCACCCTGGAACCCGAAGCAATAAAGTCGAACTGTTAGTAACCTGCATCCGTATCAAGCACACCATAAAAGAACTAAGAAAGCAATCCTGACCTTGGTGTCATCAAAACATCCACGGGCCATTACAACCTACAACAGAAAAAAACAACGAAGGAAAGATTCAACTGTTGAAATCCGCAGCTCCACAAAGATAATGCATGCATTAAGATCTCGCAGCTCACCTTCCTGATATGTCCACAGAACTTGTCAGCCAATTCTGAAACTCCACCCATCCCATCAGCTGCCAGTTTGTTGGGAGGTACAATTATCACCATCGGATCGTAAAATTGCAGCAGAGTTTGGGTGTTCTGATACGAGCCACTGGTTTCAATGTACTGCGAAAGATCCAGAGAAGCTGATCTCAAATTAAATGCAGCCATTCCAACCTGCAAGTCCATCGTCATCACGTCTCAATTAGACAAGCGACGTACGGTTGTCACCACAACTTTTAGGACAAACTACCGCAAATTTCAAATTCGACGATGTAGCTTTCACATTAACGCAATCATCCAAAGCAACAAGCAGTTCTCAGGATCAACGCAGATTTCTTCCTTCAGGACGTCCTAGTTTTTGAAATTGTGGAAGAATCACGACTGCTAATTTCAATTAGCACAGTGTTAGTAGTATCCGACTGCAGAAATTTTCCATGGCGGTCGGCAAGCAAGAGAGCGTTCTAACATCGCCCAAAGTTAGCGGAACTGAGCTTCACAAATGGAGATCGAGATGCGATTTCGCAGAATAAGTAGTAATTTCCATCGTTGAAGAAGAGAGGAATTGAAAATGAACCAGTTGGCCAGTGTTTTTCTTCTAATTTCCAGAGTTTTCGCAGCAACCAAACAGGAAGTTGAGTACCTCTTTGGCTCTGTTCTCGATGAGGCTGATCACGATGCTGGATCTCTCTCCGTCGTCTTCCATTTCTCTCCGACGCTTTACAGAAGGGGAACAATTTCACCAGGGAAAAGAGAAAGTGAGAAACTCAGAATTTGGGCGCCAACTCGTTCCGTTTTATAGTACAGAACGACCACCACTACTTTACGCATGGTGCGTATTGCTGCTAAACTGCGCTCACGTTTTCAAAATTTAGCGCGGTGACGAGGCAAAAATAACAAAAAAGAATGAGCAAGCTGCGAGCGAGAGCGCTTTGGAGAACTTGTGTATGTGGCAGGCAATAGCTAAAGCACTGTCCTCCGCAGCAAGCCAGAAACAGCTACGGGAAATCCATTCGCGCTTGGTTACATTAGGCCTTGAGAAGTCTGTGTTTATTTTTCCTGGAAAACTGACGAGCAAGTATGGGCAGCTGAAGGACTCGATCTCTTCTTTCCATGTTTTCCGAGTAACCACTCCGGCTACCAGTGCGTATGTGGAATTCAGTTATCAGAGCGCTTACACAGAATGGATTATCCTCTGAAGCTCTGGAGCTTTACTCCCGCATGCAAGAGCTTGAGGTCAGGCCTGATTCTTATACTTTCCCGTCGGTTATCAATGCTTCTGCAGCGTTATTGGATTCTGAAACGGGTTAGGGTTGTGCATGATCGGGCAGTGGAGATGATTTTTGGATCTGAATGGATATATATATGCTAGGTTTGGTGATTTGGCCAAGGCCCGGAATGTGTTCGAGGAAATGCCTCGCAGAGATCTTGTGTCGTGGAATAGCTTCGTTTCTGGGTATACTAGAAATGGGCACTGGGAGGAGGCTTTGGAGATTTTCGCGAGTTCATAATGGTTGGTTGAAACCAGATACTTTTACTGTATCAAGTGTTCTGCCTGCCTGTGGTGGCTTGCTTGACATTGACGGTGAGGTGGTCCATGGGTTGGTTGAGAAGATGGGGATGAACGCTGGCGTTATAGTGAACAATGGATATCTTTCTATGTATGTTAAGTTTGATCAATTGGTGGATACGCAAAGGATCTTTGATGAAATGGTCACAACGGATACTGTTAGTTGGAACATCTTGATTTGTGGATATTCTGAAATGCAGTTGTTTGTAGGGTCGATCAAGTTCTTCATGGAGATGTTTCATATGTTTAGACCGGATTTGTTGACAATCACTAGCGTTCTCGGTCCCTGTGGTCAATTAAAGGACTTGGGACTAGCAAAATTCGTTCATAATTATATGAAGGATAATGGTATTGAATGTGATGTCACTGCTACTAACGTACTTAATGATACCTATGCAAACTGTGGTGATACTTCGGCGTCAAGGGGAGTATTCAATGCATTGTGATGCAGGGATTCCATTTCGTGGAACTCTATGATTAGTGCTTACATTCAGAATATCAGTTATGGTGAAGGGATGAAAGTCTTCAAAATGATGAAGAAGGAACTTAAGCCTGCTTCTGTTACTTGTATAATGATCTTGTCAATGTTTGCTAAAGCAGCTGATTTGGACCTTGGGAAGCAAGTCCACTGTGCTGTGGCTAAATTAGGTTTTGACTCGGATCTAGTTGTTGAGAATGCATTGCTTGATATCTATGCGAAGTGTTGGAGAACGGATGATTCGCTCGCGCTTTTCAGGAGCACGAGAAATCGGAATGTGGTGTCATGGAACACCATCATTGTAGCACGTGGGCAAGGAGAAGACTCTATCTTAGCATTCCGGATGATAAACCAGATGGTGAGTGACAATATAATGCCAGATACAACGACAATGTAAGTTGTATTGCCGTATGTTCCTTGCTAGCTGCCAAACGGCAAGGCAAAGAAATTCGTGCTTCAGTATGAAGTTAGGCTTTAAATCAAACGTTTCAATTGGGAACACACTGGTTGAAATGTACTCCAAGTGTGGTAAATGGTAATCTAAGTTATGCAGTTAAAGTTTTTCAGCACATGAAAGCAAAGGATGTTGTCACCTGGATTTCGTTTGATCTCAGCATGTGGGATGCACGGTGAAGGAAAGAAAGTCCTGAGATTTTTCACGGAAATGAAAAAAGATCATGTAGCTCCTGATCATTTGTAGCCATCCTCTATGCATGTAGCCATTCAGGTTTGGTAAATGAGGGTCTCGCTTGTTTTTACCAGATAGAGAAGGATTATGACATTGAGCCAAGAATTGAACATTATGCTTGTGTCGTTGATCTTCTGTCTCGATCTGGGAAGTCATCTAGAGCCGAACTCTTCATCAGTTCTATGCCAGTGAAGCCAGACGCAAGCATATGGGGAGCTTTACTCGGTGCCTGCAGAGCATGTGGAGAAACAAAGATTGCGGAACGTTTGTCACAGCATATTATGGAATTAGAATTGGATGATCCTGGCTATTATGTTCTAGCATCCAATGTTGTTGCTGGTTTTGGTAAGCGGGGTCAGGTAAAAGTTATACGAAAATCCAAAGAAGCCCAAGGACTGAAAAATGAGCTGGGCCATAGTTGGAATGATACCAGAAACAAGGTTTTTGCATTTGGATCTGCTGATAAGTACTCTGAACATTACCAAGAGATTAGCAACTTATTAGAGGAACTTGGTAGTTTGATGTCGAAAGAAAGGTATGCTGCTAATGTGCAATATGCTTGCATGACATTGAGGAGAATGAAAAGAGAAGACTGGCTTTGTGGGCATAGTGAGAGGTTTGCCATAGCTTTTAGGCTATTGAAGACGGATCCAGGGATCCACTTACAGGTGATGAAGAACCTTCGTGTTTGTAGGGATTGTCACACTTGAACTAAGTACACGTCAATGATTATGAAGAGAGAACTGTTGATGAGAAATGCTAACCGATTTCATTTGTTCAGAGATGTGTCATATATTTGTTTCTTTTCACCTTTGAAGACTGGTGTAGTATTTCGAGGACTAAAGCAGTTTCTTTCATGGGGTGATTATACTTCAGATCATTTTCTTAAGATAAGCATTGCTACTTATGTAGGACTACATCATTGCTCATTAATGACAATTCATGCTATTCCAGTCTAAGACCTTGCTGACTATAAAATTCTACTCTTGGTATATTTGCCAGAACTATCAGATTTCATGCTTCCCCAGCAACTAGATTCGACAAGTGCATTAAAGCTGCATGAATGGGCAATGGAATGCAGAAGCAGAGAAGTGGTTTGAAGCATGAAGAAGACACAGGTAGTTTCTTGAACCAGTGTCGATCTTTTATATGGAAATTACAACATCTGTAAACAAACATTTAACGAGGAGGAGAGGGCAAACTCTTGTGTATGTTCTACAGAAACTTTAATCCATGACTTCATCAATTCTAACAAATTGGCCTCCTCATGGAATGTTGTGCTGTGACCCCACTAGCTACTGATGATATCCATCCATCCTGCAAATCCACACAGCGGGAGCTTTTCCCCTTTAGCTCATTTTGCAGCCAGAAAGTCAAGGTTTTTCAAGGACCTTGATCTGCCAAGCAAGTCTATTCAGCTTTTAATAAGACAAATGTAAAAGGTATTCTTGACATCTCCTAGCTTGTAGAGTTTCATTCACTGTTCAATATAATTTCCTCAAATCGTAAAACATTATCTCTAGCACCAACCCATCATGTACCAAATTGCAGAATGGAAAGGTCAGATACTTCTCACTCGCTATTCAGAAAGTACACCTCAGTTCTACTTCACACACAAGAAATTCAGCGTCATTTCAAATGCATTTGAGGTAATTGATGAAAGATCTTACATTTTGTTGTTTTAGATGGTTTCGAGACTTCGAATTTGTGCACTTTTGTTTGATTTTTGCTTATACAACAGATTCTGAGTACTTCTAGAATTTGAATGTCCAACTTGCATTATTAAAAAAATGCGGTTTCGGCTTTCGGCAAGAAGTGGTAATATTAAATATCTTGCTATGGTATTGGTGATTAATTAAAAAATTATACTTGCAAGTAACTGGCAGATAGTTGGCAGGAGAGATTTTCTATTTTCCTATCTCCTGAAAATTGGGTTGCTTTTATCCAAGATGCTGCCCAACTCAGATTTTGATTTCACACATGAATCTCGAGACAGCCATGTGGAAGTCAACAACTGGAAATCACGTCTCACTAGAGTAATATAATAGCACGCTAGCCTGTAGATTTGTGTCTATCGTTTTTATTTATATTTTTGTTATGAATGTCATGTTTATTAAATTAACTCATGTCTGACTTAATCGAATCCGATTTCAATCCTATAAATAAAGGGGCAATAGCATATGGGCACCTCTTCCACACCTTCCTAAAAGTTAAAACGCCAAGAAGGGGGAGGAAGAAAGAAAAGAGAAATGGCAGCTTCAGGTTCTCTGTTCAGCATAGCCAAATCTGTCCTCGAGAAATTGTTACCACTGCTTCAACAGGAGTTAGCACTTGCCTGGAGCCTGGGATCCGAGCTAGAGAAGCTGAAGGGTACAGTGACTGCCATTCAGGCAGTTCTGCTAGATGCAGAGGAGCAGCAGGAACACAGTCATCAAGTCAGAGACTGGCTCGAGAAGCTGACTGTAGTGCTGTATGATGCTGAGGACCTACTTGATGATTTCGCCGTAGAGGTCGAAAGGGGTCGGCTTGGTGGTAATTCAGATGACTGCAGAATTCGCTGCTGGACCGTGGTATGCTTCCTTTACTCCCTTCCAAACCGTTTGATTTATGGTCTTAGAATGGCTCACAAGGTTAAGGCTCTGAGAGAGCAATTGGATGTCATATGCAACGATAACGCCAAATTGCATCTGAGTCCTCGTTTTGACGAGACATGGAAAATGAGGAAGCATAGCCACACTATTTCGTCCATACCCGACATAGTTGTTGGTAGAGAAGATGATGTGAGACACATTAAGAAGCTTCTTCTGTCTGGTGATAATGATGGTAGTGGGAATGTTGTTTCCATACATGGAATTGGTGGGATGGGGAAGACAATGCTTGCTCAGCTCATTTTCAATGATAAGGAAGTGAGGGAGGAGTTTAAGTTGAGGTTGTGGGTCTGTGTCTCAGAGTCTTTTGAGGTCAAGTCAATTGTTCAAAAGATTCTAGAGTCCATCACTGGGGAAAAACAAGATGATCTGGAACTCAATACGTTGAAAGATCACTTGGTTGGGCATATTGAAGGGAAAAAGTATCTTCTTGTACTGGACGATATGTGGAACTTCGATCCACAGAAATGGCAAGTGATCAGATCTGTGCTCAAGTGTGGCGCTAGTGGAAGCAAGATCTTGGTCACTACGAGGTTCCAAAATTTTGCAAAAATGATGAGTCGCAGCTCTAGTGCTCCACCTTATGCTCTGAGTGGTCTATCACCCCATCAATCATGGTCACTGTTTAGGCAAGTTGTGTTTGATCAAGAGGAGAAGGAACCAACGATTAGCGTTGCAGATTTTAGCGTGGAAGAGATTAAACAGGAGATCATTAAAAAGTCTGCAGGGGTTCCTTTAGCCGTAAGAACAATAGGAACCTTGCTGTATTTTAAAGATCGTCGAACTGAGTGGTTGCCTTATCTTAGGTCGAATAAACTCTTAGATGCGGGACATAAGAATAGCATGCTACACAACCTGAAGCAGAGCTACGACTATCTTCCATCACATTTGAAGCATTGTTTTGCAATTTGTAGCTTATTACCTAAGGACCACACTATAATTGTCGGATCGTTGATCCAGCTTTGGATTTCTCTGGGGCTTATCAAGTCATCATCACCTACTACTGATTCCAAACAAAGTTTACTTGATACAGGTCTGGAGTGGTTTATGGACCTCGCATGGAGGTCTTTCTTCCAAGAAATCAGACCAGGCCCTTCGATCCCCATATCTACCTGTAAAATGCACGATCTAATCCACGATCTTGCAGTCTCAGTAGCTGGGTCTAACTGCAAGCTAATAACTGGCCCTATGGATGGAGTCAATGAAAAGACTTACCATGTCTCCTTGTCACATAGTTCGTGGTGCCCTTCGGAGATGGTAGGTCTACTTGGGAGTGCCACACGACTGCGGACATTTTCTGTGTATTGTAACCCGTGGTATGAGTCAGGCACAAGTTGGGATGAGTCAACTTTCAAATCTTTCGTGTCCAAATTTGGAAGCCTACGCATTCTCGAGTTCCCAAATTGTGGGATGGAGATGGTGCCCCAAGACATCCAGAAACTAAAACATCTTAGGCATCTCGACCTCTCGTACAATGACAAGATTACCAAGCTACCAAACTCTATCACGATGCTTCACAACTTGGAAGTGCTCTTACTCAACGAGTGCAAAAACCTGCTGGAGCTGCCAAGAAATATCAACAAGCTTGTGAATCTATGGTGCCTTGATTGCCAAAATTGTTTTGCTCTAACTCACATGCCACCGCAGTTGGGGGAACTGACTGCTCTCCAAACAATGACCCTTTTCGTGGTGGGCAAAGAGAAGCATATGGGTGAGCTGAACGAGCTAGCCAGGCTATCGAACTTGAGAGGCTTTCTCCAAATTGTAAACCTGAAAAGCCTTCTTCGCTCAGTGATACTTTCATCACCAGTACCACCACCACCATCGATTGCATATGAGATTGGTGTAAAAGCAAACTTGAAACAGAAGCACCATCTTGAGCAGCTGGTCTTGGAGTGGACCGGTGGTGACTATGACAAAGAAAAAGAAGAACTGGACGAACACCTAGAGAGATCAACATCCCAAGATGTCGGTCAATGGGATGAAAGTTTAATAGAAAGCCTTCAACCTCACTTGAACCTGAGACTCTTGTCAGTGCGTGGGTACACAGGCGAGAGATCTCCTAGTTGGATTTCATCTCTAACTAACTTGGTTGCTCTTCAGCTGGCTTGTTGCAAAGTGCGTTATGGTTTGCACCATTTGGAAGGATTGCCAATGCTTAAAAGGATCGTCTTTAGGAAATTGATCATGTTGGAGTACATAGACGAAGATGAAGATAATGGACAAATAAGACCATTATTCTTCCCTTCCCTGGAGGAACTCTATGTGAGTGTTTGCCCCAAACTAAAGGGATGGAAAAGGAAGCCAGTAACAACCCAATTTCCCAACCTTTCTACACTGTGCATACTGCAATGCCCTCTGCTTACCTCGGTGCCATTGTTCCCAACACTTGATAAGAAGTTGATGTTGGTGAACACCAGCCTGGAACCTTTATTGCAGACAATGCTAATGAACATGTCTAGCTCCTCCTCGACTAGTTATGGTTCCCAGTTCCCGGCTTTGTCTAAACTGAAGAAGTTGCATATCAAGCAAATTCATAATCCTCCGAGAAGGTGGCTGCAGGGGATGCAGCACTTAATTTCTTTGCAGAAGATTGAGATCGAGGATTGTTCAGGACTAGAGAAGACTTCGGATTGGCATGAAATCACCCATGTTCCAAACATCACTATTGATGGCTACTACATTAACGAAGATGGGCAGTCTTTGTGGGATGAAAATGAGTGGAACAACTTTCCTTGGATACTGAAGGTTCTACTCCCATCTCCTTCACTCTACCTGTCGAGCTATACCAATCTATTTTTAATATTATATAATGAATGAGTTGTAATGTTTCCTTGTAGTTGATATCGAAGGCATGATGGCAGAAAGATTCAAGTGAGCATGATTTCATTTGTAAGAGGTTTTATGCTCTTAAGATTGAAGTTGGGACGAGTAAACAGAAGGCAAACCAATTAGATATCTCCAACATTCTATGATCCATACATACACAAGGTGTTCTGCCTATAAAGGCATGGTAATAGAATGTGTGAAGTCCGTTTTTTACAGGTGAAGTCCTAATTTTCAAGATTATGTTCTGCAGACTTTCATCCATGACTTCATTGAACAAATCGATCCTCCTCGATTGAAAGTTGTGCTGCAACTCCAATAGCTACTGATATCAGTCCATCTTGCAGATCCGCGGCAGGAACTTTCTCACCTTCAGTTCTTACTGAAGCCAGAAAGTAAAGGTGTTCCAAGTAGCTTGATCCATGATGCAATTTCAGTGTTTGCATTGCAAATTGTTCATGTGTGTCCTGAAATTTCCTGGTGGAGTTTCATTGCTGTGGAAAACCAGTTCCAATGGCTCACTTTATTCTTTCATCCTCAGCTATCAGGGTCTTTACGCCATCTCTACCAGCAACTCGAGAACCAAACCGCACGACGTTTTCCGGCACGAAACCCTCCCCCTGTTGCAATAAGATGATCAGAACAGAACCAGGTGAGAAAGAGGCTTGAAAAGTTGCATGCAATGTAACGGGGTCTGGTGGCAGAAGAGAACACGAGAACCTTCCCAATATCACCAACAACTGATGTTTCCTGCTCATATTTATTCCCTTCAGCAAACATGCAAAGGTCAAGCATCCCTCTTGAGCCGTTATCAAACTCGGTGATCACATATGCATTGTCGTTAACATCAGGTACCTGAACCGATGGCAAACTTGTAGACAGATGGTAACTGTTCAGAAACTAATCCATAGTTGCTTCGAACACAAGAAATGCAGAGCTCATGTTACAAATGTGTTCATTTTGCTCTAAAGCTTTCATTTCTATTGAACAGAGGTTCAAATGCTCAATCTGGCTGGAAATAACTTTGGAAGACCCAAATGTGACCTGCTGAATATTTACCTTCCCATCATAGAAACTTGTGAATGGAAAGTTAGTGTCCACAAACTTCTCCTTTGTTGCTTGACACACAAGAAATGCAAACCTCATGCTACAAATCTAATCGTTCTGTTCTAAAGTAGTTGGTTTTATTGAAGACAGCTTCGAATACTCAATTTGACTGGAGATAACAGGGAAGACCCGAAGTGTAGCAGCTGAAACTTTACCTTCCCGTCATAGATTTCATCCTTGTGGTTAACATCAATACCGCCAGAAGCCATGACTCGAACAGGATTCGCTCCAGCAAACAGCCTCATGAGATCAAAGAAGTGGCAGCATTTCTCCACCAGAGTTCCCCCTGTGTTGGCATTAAACCTGTTCCAGTTATGAACCTAGTAACAAGCATCAAGAGGAAGAAGAACAAATCAACTTCAGCAAAACACAGGAATACTTGGAAAAAGAACCATTGACTAGCTTTCAGTTTCATTATCTTTCACCTTGACCAGAAATGGAAGCCTGTCGTCCCTTATTGGCACCATTTTCTCATATCATAGAGATCCACCTTTGACGATCTGGATCAGCTTCGCGACTGGAGGCATGTATCGGTACTCTCATCCGACTTGGACTAGCATGTCTGGTCTCTTCTTGGCTGCATCCACAACCTAAGAGGTCGACGAAGAAGTGGAATAAGTTCGACGAAGAAGTGGAATAAGTTAGTGGAGAAGAAGAGGAACAAAATAGCCACTAAGCTTGGTTTTTGTTGCAATTTCACTACTTCATAGTTACATAGTATGACATGTTTGGAAATTATTGTTTAGTCCACTCACAATCATATTTTTCAACAATGCATATGCATAGTATTTTTTTAATGTATAAAATAGCATGAAATGTTGATGTTTCGAGTTACAAATTGAACTTGGATTATTAAATATTCAAATGAACATAAATTAATAAAATGATTTGGCATAATATGGAAACACGAAATTTAAATGTGTAAAATATGTACGTCCATATATATATGTGGATTAAATAGAGTATATACAAACTTGCTAATGAGAATAAAATGATATTTTTTAAGGAACTATATATTTTAGAGAAAATAAAATGATATTATGATAATAGTTTGAAGTACTTTCTGAATGTGAAAATGGTTCATATACAAATTTGTCGATTCAATTGATACAATGTTAAATAAATGAATATGATAACGAGGACAATGAGTTGGTATCCAATCTAATATCCAAATGAATATATATATTTTGTTGAAATGGTATCATTTACCCACCCAATACCATTATTAGGCACTATGAAATGAAGAAAGAACAACTTCCAAATTAGAAAAAGAGCAATCTCCAATCCTAACCCAATAATGAAAAGAAACAAGCAAGACAAAGGCTCAGTTTGGCCATACTGTGTAGTTTTTTAGAAACAGTTTCTGGTTTGAACTTTTAGAAAAATACTTTACAAAAAAATCAGTTGAGTGTTTGGCTGCAAAAATTATTAGAAGTGCTTTTTAATATGAGAGTTATGTAAAATAAATATAAAGGAATTATAATATAAACTATGAATAATAATTATAAACAATAAAATATAGTCAAAATGGATCTTGTTAGACTTCTTTTATATTAAATAATATGATTTTATAATTTATTTTATTTTTAAAATAATATAAATGTAATAAAATTAAATTTTCTGAAATAAATTAAAATATTGTAAAGATAATCTTGTATTTTCAAAACAACTTTTCGCAAAAGCTCCAAATCGCTTCTGTTTTTATGTTATACAAAAGCGCTTTTTGGCTTTTCAAAAACCGAGCTTTTAGAGGTGTTTGGCCCTACTTTAGCTTTTGAAACTGAAAAGCACTTCTAAAAGTCGGGCCAAACATAGGCAAAAGCACACAAATGGCTCAGCTGCTCAGGATACGTCAAATCACGGGCCCATGTCGTGTTGATCGGTGACTCGACCGAGATCGGCAGTGACTATAGTTTGTAAATACTCCATTTAAAACATTTATATGTACCTAGGGCTGCAAATGAGCCGAGCTACTCGCGAGCAACTCGAGGCTCGAATCGGGAAAAACTCGTTCGAAAACTCGACTCGTTTACTACCGAGCCAAGCTTGAGCTTAGCTTTGTTCAGCTCGCGAAACTCGCGAGCTAGCTCGACTCGGTGGCTTGTTGAGCTCAACTCGTAAGCTGGCTCATTTAGAGCTAATGAGATGTCTCAACATTGTGGTTTGAGGGGCAACTTGATCACCGACTTATGGACGAATCGATCTAATTTGGACTTTCATAATTCATAAGATTGTTAAATTATATATCTCACATCATGTGAAGTTTAACATGTTGAACATGTAAGAAAATATGTCTTATTTTTAATTCTATAAAGAAATTATGTACAAAATTGTTTCGATACTATGAAATAACATGATTTGAACTAGTTAAAATTTATTAACTAAACAATATGACCCCTACAAATTATAATATAAGATTAATTAATGTTGAACATTTGATTATTTTTTTATCATTACATCAATCACATGTACCATACACGACATACAAAATGAATGTATCAAATACGATCTAAGAATTTAGCAAACAAGTCTAGCTCGAACTCGACTCAGCTCGTTAATAAATAGCTCGAGCTCGAACTCAACTCATTTGTTAACGAGTCAAGCTCAAACTTGGGTAAAACTCCGCTCAATTCGACTCATTTGTACCCAATCTGCGGTGACTCGCTGCCTTCTTCCGCAAGGCTAAACGGCGCGTATACTCTGCCGTTTTCTGCATCCTTCTATTCTTCGGCTGAGCATTTTTCTCGAATAAAAACTTTTCGTTTAAAACCCTAAACCACCAGAGGAGACAAACCAGTTCCCTCCCTCCTCCACGAAACCATGAAGTTCCGATCTACGCACAGGCTCCCCGTTTTCCTCAACTCTCATCAGTTCAACTATCGCCGTCTTCATCACCGCCATTTCTTCATTTCTTTCCACAAGAAATTTCATTCGACGTCGCCGACTCGTGCCGCTTTTAGCAATGGCGACGGTGGCAACTCTAAAGGTCAGCTCTCCAGTACAAATAGATACTAGCCTAGCTTCTCTCGTTTTCGGAATTTCAAGTTACTGGACGCACTTAATTTCTCGTTTGAACTTCTTGAGAATTTTCATAGGAAACTCAGATGGATTGGTTCCTCATTTCAGTTATAGCTCATTGTTGTTGGTGCTGAAGAAGCCATACTCTACTTTTTACTTGGATTTTGGCTGCTTGATGTCTTCGTGGTGCTTTTAGGTTACAGTATCACAGTAGAGCAAATTCACATTTTGACTTTTCGAGCATACTTGCTGAAAGGTTGCATGGATTTCATGAATTTGAGATGTATAGTAATCTTGGCTTGAATTTTGGTAACATATGCTGTATATACTGGCTGATTGTGTGTTCAATGAGCTGAGTGATTAAAGCTACTTCAAGTTGTGGTCAGGGGGAGTATCGTTGTTGGCAACTACAGTGTGTGATGATTTAAAGTTGATGTTTCTGGGATCATTTTTGTATTTTTAGCTTGTAGAATGCAGTTTTAGTTGATTGTTCGATGTCTTTGCAGGCAATGCTTTCCTGGTACCTGGTGCAACTGCAGCTACCTTACTTATGCTTGGTGCTCTGCATGCTCGTCGGATGTATGATGACAAAAAGGTGTGTATTTGTGTCACCTATCGCTAACCCATTCTCTAAGCTTTCCTTGTGATTCTTTAGTCTTATGTCATGCACGTCTTTGATCTTTTCATCAAGTGGGTTCCTGTATGCATTCATGGTCTTGATAATGATCAATTCTTGGCTAATTCTGCTTTTATGTTGTGTTGATTCATGGTTTGTGGTTCCTTGTTCTTATGGGGCAGTTGGAAGAGGCACGAGAGAAAGGGGTTGAAATTGAATTCCAACCTGATGCAAAAGTAAGTACTGTTTTGCTAGAAGAATTATTAGATCCATCATTATCAAATTGCGAGTTCTAAATGAGGTTCATGTTGTGCATTTTACTTAACCTTCGCTGACCTTTTGTACTCTAGGCTTCATTTTTGAGGATGCTACCCTTACGCTCCATTTCCAGAGTTTGGGGTTCTTTAACTAGTGTGGTGAGGATTCCTTTATTTTTAGGATGCCTGTTAATTCTTAAGCTTTTGGATGTGAAGTTATTAAAAAACATGTACTTTCAGGAACTCCCTATCTGGCTGCGCCCATATGTCTATAAAGCTTGGGCAAGAGCATTTCATTCAAGTATGGTTTCTGGATTTGATATCTTTGGTGTTGATTTGTTTAGTTCTACACTGCTCTTTTCCCAGCACTCTTGTTTATGATTGTGCAACTGTCACTTAAGGTTGGCTGAAAAGAAAATGCCCCCTTCTTGTCTAAGTGCAGACTTGCAAGAAATGTCTCTCCCTCTCGAAGAATATTCTTCTTTACGTGAATTCTTTGTCCGCACATTGAAAGAAGGGTCCAGGCCTATTGACCCTGACCCACATAGTCTGGTAACTGGTAACAAGCTTCTTGCTGATGTTTCACATCCATACTGCTGTTATTGGATATAGTGCCAAGCAGTGAGTAGTCTGTAGAGCATCTCATTTTGCATTTTTGCAATCTCAGGCCAGTCCCGTAGATGGTACAATTCTAAGATTTGGGGAATTGAAAGGACGAGGGGCTATGATTGAACAAGTCAAAGGGTTTTCGTATTCTGCTTCTTCCCTACTCGGAGCTAGCTCCTTCCTTCCCATGGTAGCTGAAAGGGATGTGCCTGAGGAAACTAGCGAAGACCGAAGTGACCATAAAGAGAACAGCCAAAACGCACAATGGAGAATTTCATTGTCTTATCCTAAAGCCAGGGACACAGTGAGAGCAACAAGGTAATTCAACTGTTCTTGTTGCCCTACACTCTAGAATGACAGAAGTATATGTTAAGTGATTCAATAATTCCTTTGCAATGGCCTCCGAGGGAGTAGATCATTGATTCATGTTATTCATTGCAGTCCAGGGAAAGGACTTCACTACTGTGTAATTTACTTGAGACCTGGAGACTATCACCGCATACACTCACCAGTTGATTGGAATATTCTCGTTCGCCGTCACTTTTCAGGTGGGTTATTGCAACATATCAATTTGTCGTTCGTATATTGTGATGCATTGAACTCAAGAGCATTATCCATTATATCCATTTCTAAGTTTCCAAGTTGCTTTAACAAGTTACTGATCTGCTGATCTCTTCATGAGAGTGTGCATGAAGCTTATAATCTGTGATGATATATCTGAATGCTTACTTAGCATTAAACTGTTACATTGTATTATGCTATTGTAGCCTGTGGGGAATAAGCAAGTTCAATGTATGGTAAAACATGATCTTGAATGCTTAAAAAGATCATTGAACATGACATTTAATCTGACTTTAACCTTGGTATAGGAAGTAGAAATGATTGAGCACTGTTTATCCATGGCTTATGATTAGTGTATAGTTTATCTCTGGATTTCCTTAAACTCGTCAAGTATGATGCTGTATGCCCTGAATATTAAACTACTACTTGATAATCTCTCAGGACGCCTTTATCCAGTGAATGAACGTGCAGCAAGAACAGTCAGAAATCTGTATGTTGAGAATGAAAGGGTAAGCATCGCTAAACCAATCAACCAACTCAATGTGCTTTATTTTAAGTGCAATAAGTAGTGTAACATCTGGTCATCAGAGCTAGTTGGTGTCTGATCTTTTGTGCTTAATCTGAAAGCTTCCGCTCTGTAAGTTTGGAAGTTCATATAATCAGTCAGACAGGAAGTCAACCATCAAGACAATGGTGCAAACTTGTTAGCTTGTTAGTTTTATATTTATGGATAATTGGTTTGGAACATGTTCTCATCCACCTTGGATATCATCTCATTGAGTCACTGAACTTCCATCACGCAGGTAGTAGTTGAAGGTCTATGGAATCAGGGATTCATGGCCATGGCTGCAGTTGGTGCTACCAATATTGGATCGATTGAGGTAAGTCAATTTGTTTGCATGGTGCTCCTTGCTAGTTACTATGTGAAGTATGGCCAAGGAGTGACTCCTTCGTGCAAGGGACATAACTGAAGAATGTATTGGAAGGGTCTTTCATAACTAACATTATTTTCTTGGTTATAATGGTGTACATGGCAGCTTCTCATTGAGCCAGAGCTTAGAACTAACCTGCCAAGAAAGCTGCCATCTACTTCTGATCCTCCAGAAGAACGGGTTTACGAACCTGAAGGCATCGGAAGACTAGTCAAGAAAGGAGATGAGGTTAGTTATATATTCAGATATATGCTAATTTGTTTCCAGAAAACAATAGTTCATATGAATATGTTTCCACGAGCAATGTGAAGGAAAGAAAGACCGTCTCGCAAATGAAGTTTGGCCTTCAAATCTTTCTTCGCAGATAGCTGCTTTCAACATGGGTTCAACAGTCGTGCTTGTCTTTCAAGCTCCTATGTCGAAACCAGCCAAAGATGGAAGCCCATCTTCAGAATTCAGGTTCAACATCAAACGTGGGGATCGAGTTCGAGTTGGAGAAGCACTTGGCACATTCCATGATGTATAGATTACAGAAGCATTTGCTCATTTTGCTGAAGTTGTATGGTTCAGCTAAGCAAAGCAGACATCCGAGTGTTTCATACTTCCACTGAGATTCACTGCTGTACAACCTCCATGTGGTCAACTTTGGCGAAGTTTACTTGTGAAAGTTCGTTGTAATTTTAGGGAACAGTAGCTGGAATTTACTGGGTTACTCCTGAGTCATGATCTACACCTTGTGTGAGACATTGCTATATGGGAATTTTGATCCCCGGAAGGGTTAGTAAAATCGTGTTGAAGATCTACTGCTTGTGTGAAAATGTATTGAGCCTAATCATTCAAAGTTTTAGGGTAAAGGAGTGAAAATTGATCAAAGAGACAATTAAACTAGTAGAACCAGTTGTGGTGCAATGTAGCTCGAGATAGGTTTCACTGGTTTTCCCAAAAACTACAGGAGTGAAGTTACTTTGCCAAGCAATTTCGCCTGTTCAGAGCGTTTTATTTTTTTGGATAAAGGTGATATAAGTTTTTTATTTTTGTGATTAAGGTACTACTTAACGGATTTGAATCTGCGACCTCCGAGTTCTAGATTAGTGATATTATCACGTTCTAAGCCTGTTCAGAGCGTTTTAAGGATCACCTGTGCGAATTACAGAATGGTTTTTGAACAACTGCTACAAGCTTAAGTCCACAACAGTGCAACAACAATTGGACCTGATCAAATCTCTAAAGTGGCTTCAATTTGCCAATTTCTAACCATCAAATTCATTCAATATGGGAATCAAAATCACACATTTGATTAGAATCCCTAACTTCTGAGAGCAGTAGTAATGGAAGAATGCGAGTAACTTTCAACTATCAACACATTTACATCTTTCGTCATATCCACTTGACATCTCTGTCGAAAACCCTTACCTATCTATAATTCTCCTTCAAAATTGAGCCACTTGCATCATCACTTCACATATAATAAGAGAAAAAAGCTGATCATCCTTCCCTGTATCTCTTTATATCAAGACTTTGTTCCTGTTCACATAAGAAAACCCTTTCATGTTAGCTCAACCCACAGCTCCATTCTAACTGGTTGATTAAGGAAATGAATGTAATGGTTTCTACAAGTATCTGTCTGATTCAGAAATCTACTATTTGCTCAACTAATAACACTGCTAACAAGCACAACATGGCCCCCAAAAATTTGACTGATTAAAGAACAAGCTAACTAGCACAAGGGCAGATCCAGAGGATTGGCCTAAATCATCACACAACAACTGAAACTCACAGCTGCATTGCTTTTGCTCGATCAAATCATTCTCAGGAAGCTAGACTGGTATTCGAATTAGCGGTGGAAAGAAAGGAGCATATAAACGCGCTAATCATCAACAATGACTTGATATACGGATTTGGCATTCACCCAAATGAATGACAAGCCACCATCCATTCTAAAATTCCCACATCATCCTGCTAATTGGTAATTTGACAAAGATTTCTATGCAAGATGACTAAACATTCTAATTGGAAGACGAGTAAAGACTGCAATATAGATTCCAAGGAGCCAAAAAGCCATAACCACCATTAATTTAGCAACCCAAATGACAAGGCACCACCATAATGAATGTCCCAGTTCTCCCCATTAATAGGTGACATCACAATAATGGCAGGCAGGAGTTTCAAATCAAGACAACCAGATATTCAAATTTGGATTTCCAAGAGCACAAGAACCCTAACCATTACTAACTCAGCAATACCCCAGCCCCTAAATGAGTAGCCAGCACCACCATCATCAATTTCCAAGTGCTCCCCACGAAACAGCAATTCGCCAATAAATAATCCCGAGTAAGGGTTTCAACTCAAGAAGATTAAACATAGCAATCCGCATTCCAGTCAAGCCACCACCAGATAAACGCAGGCAAAAACTGAAGGTCGAAACTGGGTTATACCGAAACCAGGAAAATGACAGCATATGCAAAGGCACACCTACGTCTGTTTGGAGTAAGAAGAAGAGGAAGGGACGCGCTTGTTCCGAAACATCATGTATCCGACCGGCAACACCACTCCGATCATCATTATCGCCGCGCCGATTAAGTACCTCATCGGACTCGGCGGCTCCACCTCCACGATTCTCAGATGCTGCGGATCGAGGAGAAGGGGGGAAAAGCCAATCATGAACCAGGAACTGAGAACTACTACTAGAGCTCCTAGGTTGCGATCGGAGATCTGGATCCGGCATTATAGATCAAAGCAGAGAGAGGGAGAGAAAACTTACAGGCATTTTCCGCCGCTGGCCGCTGCTATCCTAGTAGCTACGGAGATTCGGGAAGAGAGGCGAAACCAGGAAGAGAGATCGATCCTGGTGAAGTGAAGAAAAAGCCAATGAGACGCGCGCGGTGACGACGACAATCGGACGGGGAATGGAAGGTATAATATTTGTGATTTGTGAAGTGAGTTATGTAGCCCATTGATGGAGCGCCACGTAACGGAAAACCCAGAACGGGGTTTGTTTTGTTGAGTAGTAAATGATGGGTTAATTATGCAATTGGTCATTTAACTTTGTTTTTCACCAGCTAGCTAACGTTTTTTTTTTTTACTTTTAAAAGGTGGCAGATTGGATTAACGGATTGGTGGATTAAGTAAATATAAAAAAAAATTAAGTGCTAAAATTTCATAATAAAAATTTCTAGGTAAAAAAAATAATTTTCCAATGATATTTTTTGCTTAGAAAATAATGTTAGGGTTTCAAAATGTAAAATATAAAAATTACAGGTACTAAACTATAATTTTTCATTTGGATCCTTGGATTAATTCATCAATCCACCAATCCAATTCGATTTGGATAGAATGGATTGGATTGGTTGTATATTTTAGTGGATGGATTGAACTTAATTTATTGATTTGGATACTAATTGTCACCTCTAGTTACTTTTATTATAGCTTCATAACGTATTTCACACGAGCTAAGACAATTTTTTTTTTTTCTGGCAAAGATAATTCGAATCAGAAAAGCAAGGTACAAAATTAAGGGCTTTTTGACGGCTAAAAAAACAATTAATGATGATACGATTGTGTTCGGAAAGGCTTCGATCAATGAAGTGGAGAAGCTGGGTTAAAGGCACGAGGCGGTATAGCCCTGCTCAAATTTGAAATATAAGTAAAATTACACTTAAAATTCGTAACAAATTTAGAAATACTGTGGCCAGTAAAATTTTACCACAATTATCATAGTTCAACTTTACTCTCTTCGTTTAGATTTTTGGCTCGCCATCAATGAAGATATGTTTAGTATGAACACCCTCTTAAACTATGGTAAAATCTTGAAGAGGTGATGAATGATCAACAACTAGTTATTTAAGTTTTGAACACCCTCTCAAACAAGGCCGAGTGGCTGTTGATAGTGGAAACCCCTTCTCAACTATTTATAGTAGTCTTCGTAGGAAAATCTTGAAACTTGGAGCTCGTTTGGTCACTCAATTAATCTTGTCAAAGACCCTCGGATTCCGTCCTTACCGGGATTCAAACTAAGCAATAACCAATGGGATTTAATTGTACGCCTTTGGATGAGTGATGAATGATCAACAAAACTGGAATATGGACCTTCTTCAACAATCTTGCAACAATGAGGAGATCAATATTGCTACAAGGAGTATTGTACCTAATATTATTAAGATCATTGGGTTTGGCAAAACCCGCGGGTTGACCCTGACCCAGTGAAACTAGTGGGTTAAGGGTTAATACGTCATACGGTTTAGTCTGGTTTAGCCCGAAAATATAGAAAGAGTCATTAGATTATACTTATTCTGATAAATTATATCAAATCTTATCTAACACATGAGTTATAACATATAATATTACACTAAAATAACATGTCGTACTTAGATCCAACATATAGTGAAAATTCACACACAATTATATAATATCAATATTGAAATGTTCAACTTAGGATCCAAAGATTGAGTTAGGCGAAAAGAAAATCGGAAAATAGGCGCATTTCAACCAAAGAAAAAAATGACACAATTTGACCTCCAACCCGGTACCTTGTAGCGGTCGACCTGACGGGTGCGTGCAACCCGCTTTTCTCACCGGGCCAGGGTCAAAGTGGGTCGACCCGCGGGTTGACAACCTTGGCTTGGCACCAAAGATAAATCTAGATTATCATATGACTCAGTATCCAAACTCAAGGGGTCGTTTGGTTTTGGTGATAGTTAAATTAATGCATTGTTATCAATGCATGCATAATAATATACATGTATATAAGAAAATTGGTGTATTATAGTTTACATCGTTTGGTTTTTGTGATAGTTATTCAAATATTGAAATAACTTATATTACTTTTTGGATGAAATATCACTTTTGCCCTTTGTTTTTAATATTAAAAAAATAGCACACATAAAAAAAGGCAGGGACATAGTTGGAACAAAACAAATCCCAACAATCTCTACCAAACAATCTCAACAATCTCAACCAAAACTAGAGATTTAACTATCACTCATTTTGAGTGATAGTTTGTGTCAAATCAAGCAAACAATGCATGTATTTTTTGTGCAAAAAATTCAAAAAAATCATGCATTGTGGATAATGCATGTATTGTAACTATCCCAACCAAACTATCACCAAAACCAAACGACCCCAAAGATCCGCCCTTGAGTGGAAGGAAGCTCCTCGCCTACCCTAACGAGTCTTGTCTAGCCAGTCTCAAGGCTAACAGGTTGACAAGAGTTAAGGTCAATGTAGTAAAAAAAACGAGCTTCTACGTAGAAACGTTTTGGTAATCTGGAAGCGTAAAATCGTAAATTTTTAAGCGAGTTTTTAACTACATAAGTTATAAAAAACAAAGATTTTGCTAAAAACATTTTAGTGACCTAGAAGCGTAAAATCGTAAATTTTTAAACTTTAAACTACGATTTTGAATACGACAACACCATCAAAATTGATACTCAAAGATCCAACCCGAAAGTGGAGACAATGTCCGACCAAGAAATAGCCAAAGTTAACCCCATTGAACCGGTCTAAACCATGATACTTGTTATTGGACGCAATTCCTGCCATGCCCCACCTACTTATGTTTTTGTTTTGACGAATGAATTGCAATCGGCCACCACTTATTCCTTCTCGGCACAAGAAACAGTTAAATACAAAGAGAAAACCCCAATTGTGACAATTTAATCGTCTTACTCTACTCAATATATTAACATAGTTCTAATTTATTGGGATGTAGCAGTTAATTAAGTTTATTTAATTATTATTATTGAGTTTTAACTAATATAGACACAGAGCCAGAGCGCCAAAGGACTCTATTCTTCTAATGATCATATTCAGTGCACTATAAATGCCAACATAACACATAGCATTAATCAAATATTCAGCAAGAGTTTGTAACAACATTATTATCATTATCTTCAGCGATGAGGAAGCTGGTAATTACCACTACAAATTTAGAAGCTGCAGTGGGTTTGGCAGCCATTATGATCGCAATTATGGCGCATCCTTCAACTCAGATGATTACGATTGATGTGAAAAACGAGTTGTGCAGTCTCAAGGTGATAGCGCATTGTCAATCCAAAGACGACGATCTTCGTGCTCAGGTCCTCGACACCGGCTCTGCTCTCAGTTGGAATTTCACGGCACGATACGGAGTTGGTGCAACTGTTTTTTGGTGCAATCTCGCGGTTCGAGATAAGCGTCTTTCTTTCACAGCCTTTAACGCGGACAATGATAAGAATGATATCTATTGGGTTGTGACTTGTGAGGAAGGAGGGAGTATATACAAGAGTATATGGTCCTGCAGCAAAATTCCAATTCGGATGGAGGAATGGAACGTTGTCGGTTGCTAAATCGTATTGTTATGCTGGGCCTTGATTATTTTCATGCTTTTTTAGGGAAGAAATTAAAGGCAGCGCCTCCAGTAGTTTTTCATTTATTTCTTTTGTTTGATCCTATGTTTGTAGCTGTTTTGGTCCCTCTTCTTTGAGTACTGCTAGCCTAGTTAATTGTGATAGTAAATGATATGTTATTTATAATTGAACATTTCTCGACAACTTGAATTATTGTCACAAATTGATTCTTGATATGGTATCATAATTTTCTATAACCGATAAAAAAGTATTTTATCTGAATCCGATAATCTTCATTGTTCTGTTAAGCACGTGATTCTTGACAAATTGGAGCTTGGAGCTTTTTTTTAGCAATATATATATATATATATATATATATATATATATATATATATATATATATATATATATGGGCAGTTCTACGATGCCCAGGGCAAAATCAGGGGTACGGGTAACCGGGGGCAAGGAAAATTACCAAATGCATCACGAAGCGTTTATGGTGACTTCTACGGACTTCAACCTAACTGTACCCGGTTTAATGATAGCGATTAAGAGGTTAAACCCTATGGATACGACCCGCCGCCCTAACCAATTTCCAGTCTCCCTTCTACGATCCCTCATTCGCCTTGGAGGGTCCCCTCTAACTCTAAGTTCGAAGTTCGATCATAAGCTGCCTATCAAATCTGAAATCTCCAACAAAATCATCGTTTCGAAACCCAAATCCTTTTATTATTTGATCCACATTCGATTTAGCTCCCTATCCAATCTCAAATCCCCAACATCATCATGTTTCATACGCCAAATCTATGTATCCACATTCGAAGAGAAGATCCCCATCCAATATGAAATCCTCACATAATCATCGTTTTGAACCCCAAATCCTTTTATCCACAAATCGACGTTTTGTTCATCGCCATTTTATTTCCGTGCGGAATTTACTCGCCTTTCTCTTTCTAACACGATTACGGCGACCATGTCTATTATTGTGTTCATCAAACTTTTCGTTTGCAAAAGAACCCTTGAAAGAGATTTGCTAACCCTAGGGTTCATGTCGCTAGTGCTTTGTCATCTTGTCTTAGCGTTATTGTCATTTTCTCGAAACTTCTATCACTCGGTGAAATTAAGGTTTCCTGATATGCAGTGTTCGTCTCGCCCAGAGGATTGAGGAAGGAGATGAAGAAGACCTAATTTGATTCGAATCAGATGGAGAGGTCTCCTTAATTTGTGTTTATGTATTAACGGTGCGTTTAGGACTAGTTCTAGTTGGACTGGGTCTGATCATTGATTTTTGCAGGCTTTTAAATAACATTCAAACGTGGGCTTGTACATGGACCCATGACACCTAGTTTGTTGATAATAGATACTGAGTTCCGGATTGTCATTAGGTTGGGCCTTTGATAATTGTCTATCTCAGACTCTCAGTGGCGATTCTTTGTTTTACTTATTTTCATCTGCTTCTGCTTCTAGAATCCTGATTATTCATTGAGTTCACGCAATTTAAACATAATTCTGTGTTCCATCTTTTTTGGAATTTGGTAAATGCTAGCGTGTCTCTTTACACATTTAGCGGTACGAGGTAAACTACAATCCGCCCAATTTAACTCTTCATTAATTGAGATCCCATTCCACTCTCTCACCGATTTCCCCTCTCTATGCAATGCACTCGTACATAACAAACCTCTTGTAGACTAATTAGAGGCTTGTGGTTGGATACTG